TTGTAATGTGCTCAGATAATTTCAATAAGTGCTTACAGAAAGGAAATTAATGTAGCCTCTAACTGCAATCGATTTACATCGGACAAACAGACCAAGCACTATGGCTCATAATACAATTACACCTTACCTGTTTGGACTATATTTTTCTATTTCATTTTTACTTGCTGCCAGGAACGTTTGGGGCCTGTTGGGTTGCACCTGCGCTCACATCACATCACAAAATAAAATGTATAAAATAACAAATAAAATAACATATGATAAAATAACGTGTTAAATGGGTGGAAATCCCTAGATCAATGTTTATATTAACACTCACGCATTGACTCTGTCGGCTATGTTTTGCCATGCATGCTCCCTGTCTTTCGCAGCTGTGGCTGTGTTACTTTTTTCCGCGGAATTTGCGTGTTATCGGCATATGCTGCCATCAGAATTTCGGCCTCAAGCGCTGTAAAATACATTGACCACGCCTTCTTTCCCTCCGTCTCCATGGTGACTCGCTTAATCTGTGCTCCGCTTATCAGGGCTTTATGTATCCTCGTCCGCGCGCTTCACTTGGGGTTAAAGCAACTCCGCGTTGACTGAACTAATTGTTATCAGCCTTTCTGAAACCGAATATTCCGAGTTGGACAGTTCGGGGTTACTCAACCCTGCGTATCGTTTTTAACTCTGAGTTTTCTAAACCGGCTTCCTGAAACAGGGCCAATATGTCGAAATTTCGAGAAAATAACTCGAAATTTTGAGTTATGGATCCCTTTTTTTTTTTTTTTTTTTTTTTTTTTAGTGGTGGAAACGGGCTTCCATAAATAACCCATCTTACAACTGTACTTCTCTCCTTGATCCAGTCACCCGGCTCTGGACTTCCAGCAAGTGCGCTGGCCTTTTCTTTCCCTACAGTTCAACTCTGGGTTTTCCTCTTCTTTTTTTTTTCTCTGCGTTTCTTGATCTTAGCAGTACTGCCTTCAGTCCCGTGGCTGAGATGGGAAAAAGAACCACGTGTATGGGCTCAAGTAGTGGTCATAAATATTTTGTACTTGTAAACAGGCTGCGTAGTTTTGAACAGCACAAAATATCAGAAAATTTTAGGTTTGTGCATCTACAGACGAAAATTTGTGTTTATAAAAAAATATTTACACAAGTTACAATTTTTACAGACCAAAGTTAAGGGACCTAGCTTGTATGAGCCTTATGGGGTATTTATTTAAAGATCCTCCAGCTTCAAACTGGTTACCCTTCTAGGACCTGAAAGCTCAGTAAAGCACCACTCCGACAGCCAAACCCATCTGTTCTCTGGTTGGATTGTTAAATTTGTGATTGACATGACACTGACCACATCTTACATTTTGAAGAAGAAATAAGAAACATTAATTTGGTTAGTGTGTACAGTGTATAATCTGCTGTCTGTTCATCCAGCTTGCAACAGATTGGTTTACACTCACAATACTTTACTAGTATTTTTGTCTATAATAGTATCTTCTATTCGCATTAGTATTTACCATCTATGTTATTTTATTATAATTTAAGTTTAAATCTGCTTTTCTCTTCTATCTGTTATTGTTTTATCAGACATGTTCCCCAACAATGCCCAGGACAAGGTAGTCCCAGGAGTCTGGCTCACCTCCAGATCCTCCAAGTACCAAATTTGAACTCTCCTTTGAGAAGGGTCTTATGGCACATTTGCAAAATGTGTCAGTATGGCTGACAAAAAGGCTGTAGCCATTATGAAAAACGAGAACCCAAAGACCCATTGGAAAACCAAGAGGTAAAAACTGCTCCCTAGAATTTCAGTTAGAAAGATGTGTGCAGTGGATGTAAGGACTGTGATGAAATGCCTATAAAATGTTTTTTTTCTGTTAAACTAATGTAAAAACCATCTCATGTTTCTAGCTCACTGCCATGTGAAAACGTAACGCCTGTAACTCCAACAAACCAAATATATTCCTGAGTTTGAATATCTTTAAAAAGTCTTTTTGACTTCATGAAAGGAATAAATTTCAAACTGCTCAATTAAAAGGCAATTCATCCCATCATCGTGCAGGTATGATTAACTCCATGATTCTTTACATTAATGCTCTGAAAATGGATACTGATCAAATTTGAATCGTAACATGACATATTCTTTGATACCTCTCAGACTGGAATAGTGTTTAATCACCTCAAGTCTCTTGGAACAATACACACAGACCTGAAATTATAAAATGTAATGTTGGTGAAATATCACCAAGAGCCATACTGAATAAAATTATTGACTTTGACCTGGCCTATGACACCTCAGCTGCCAAAGTGGGGCTCTTACATTCAGACCTGTCCGTACTGGTAAGTAGCTGGAATCAAATTGAATCTCTTCCTCACACAGTCACACAAACTCCAGTGTTTGTGATTTCTGTTAGGGGTTTCTCAGCTGTAGCATAAATAATACTTATCCAAATGGTCAACATAAACAAAAAATGTGACAATCATTTCTGTTTGTCGTCCATCAGGTCTCCGGAGATTATTCTGGGGCTTCCATATACAAAAGCCATAGATGTATGGTCCCTGGGCTGCGTGGCTGAGTCTGTACACTGGTTCCTTGCTGTACCCTGGGTACAGTGAGTATGCCATGGTAAGTAAAACAATACAAGAGCACTTTTTATTTCTTCTGAAGAATTTGATTTCAAGCTTAATAGAAAAGATTGATAACATGATGCATGTCAGTTAAACGTCTGTGCTGGACTCCTTGTTTGATTACATGTTCTGCTGTGCTCTCAGCTGAGATACATGATGGAGATTCAAGGACAACCCCAAAGAAAATTTCAGACTGTCTTTTCAGACATCTGAACTGTATTTCCAAGAGTCTGGTATTCAGTTCGTGGAGAAAAGATGAATAAATCTCTGGATGACCTCTTACATGTAAGTATACTTTTTGACCATATAGTGGGCAGATCACCCTTTAGATCCACCCCACCGAGCCTCAGGATTATGCAGATAAAACCGCAGAAATGTGTGATCTCCTGATGTTTGTTGAACTCTAATAGTAATAAGGTTATTAAAAATAATCTGGTCTTTTATTTTATTACATATTACTTTGCTTTATGTTAAAATGTTTTTATCATTTAAATGAGTAATTTAACATATGGCATGATTCATTGTCTGCAGCGTTAAGTCCTGCTATGAGCACATTAACAGCTTAAAAAAAAAAGAAGACAGGGATGTCAGATAGCGGGACAGAAGGGTGTGGGTCTCTGCACCAGCCCACCTCTGACACCAGACAACCTGCCCAAAAGAACTCCCACCCTTGGCCTCCATCCTTCTTCTCAGAGAAGCAGCCTGAACTTCATCAGGCCCAGTCACTGTAAAACTGCTCACACAGTTCCAATATTTCCAATCAAATCACACTTTAAAAGAAAACATCTGGAAGAAGATAAAAAGGATACGAGTGACCCAGATCTTAAAAAAAAAAAACATACCAACGTGAAAGGTCAGATCATGACCAGAAGAAATACCATCATTCTGCGGGTTCATCTTGCTCAACCAGTGGCTACAGGACACAGAGTTCCATCTTGGCGAGTAAGAGGAAGCCAGACCAAAACTGCTTTGACAGGTCAAATGAGAGGGCCAGAGCAAACTACGAAGATGGCAGGAGCCACATGTCCGTTAACACCTTCAATCACAGTCGGGCTGAGGACCACCGCTGCAGAGAAGCAAAAGAAGGGCAAGCAGAGTAACACTTGATTTTTCTTACATGACGTGAGTGCCTCACTTAATCTCACTTAAACAAATTTAAAACGTTTGGCTATTGAAAAACAGACTGTTAAAATTCATCTCAGCAGTAATGAGGCCACTAAAACTAATATTGAATCAGTGTGTAATGTCACTAACATTGTCAGACTCTATAGGTTTCCCTGGTCCCTTTCTCAATCTTGTATTTCAGTGATTCCACCACTGCACATCATTAATGTCTGTCTTCTCTTTCCACTAGTTATTTCTCATCTCTATACTCTCCTTTCTCTATGCTTTCACTTGATTGTCGGGGATTTCTCCACCTTATGGAGGGTTTTCAGCTTACGGTATAAAGTTCCTTCAGGCGAGTTTTGTTGTGAATTGGCATCACAGAAAAATTGAAATGATCAGTTTCATGTCTTGAAGTAAAAATAAAGTTGTCTACATTAAAAAGCAAACAGTGTCCCTGTCATTGTAATAGTCAGCTAAGTAAGTTAGAAATGATAACAGCCAGACAACCGAGTAATATGCATTATATATGGTTAAAATACACCAAATGCAGTAAGTATAATCGTTTCATATAAATATAGTCTATATTGGTGGATTTTTTGCTGCCGTCACTTCCAAAACTTTCCCCTCTCACTAAATAACCAAATCCCACGTGTTGCCAAATCTTTTTTTTTTTTATTTTTTTTATTGGTCGACATGATTCACTTTTACACCAATAGGAAAGCCGTGGCATTTTTTTAAAATTCGCTTTTCTTTTTTGTGCTGTCCTTGGAAAACACTATTTTTACAGTTTCTTCTGCGCTAAACATGAAAATAGTATTCAGAAAAAAGCATTGTGTATATATTTATGATATATACACAATTGTATAGCGTTGTTTGACACATGAGCACACATGTTCAATAATGTTGTGGCTTTATGTTTTGGAGATGAAACATCAGATTTTATTTAGATTTTTATTATTACCGGGGGGGTTGTGGTAGGGTGAGTGTTGGTTTATTTATGGTGTTTGCTATGACTTGACTGGAATGCTGTACTTCAAGTAAGCAAACTTGCATTTTCATCATGAGATCCAATAATCTTTCTCCAACAGTGTTTTAACTGAACTACTTTGAAGCATACTGTCATTTCAGTTTATTTCATTTAAATTAAGAAAATGAGTTTTTAATGGCATTTAGTTAATTTAAACAAAAAAATCTCAATGTTCCCTGCAATTAGCCACACAGTCCCCATTCCAACAAAGATGACGACTTTATTGTGAAAGTCACAACCGGATGTGCTCTAAGTCATTTCTGGGTTTAACAGTTGTGAGGCAACATGGCGAAAGCCGGTGGAATGACCGTGGATGGAGACCTGATGCGATACACTGAGTACTCTCCAAAAACCAGTGTTAGAAGTGACGCGGAGATAGACAGGCAGCTGGTAAGTACCTGTTTTAAATACTTAGGACTTTTGTGTCTGTCAAACTAAATCGAGGTGGTTGGATAGCAGCTGACGCTTCTGTTAAGTAACCTCAATGACCGCTAACGGCACGTCGGTCTATTGCATCAGGTACAGAAGCTAGCGAACTAACCTGAGCAAAGTAAGCTTTAAAGAATGTCTCACAGACACGAGCTTTCAGGGCTAATTGGTGCAATCTTCATTTTCTCTGGGTTAAACAACAGTAGATGAGGAATCGTAACCTGGTTAGCCACAACTAGCTACATGTGGGTTACATGTATGACTCCAAGGAACAGTGACGTTTGTATGTCGATGGGTTAACACAGAGCCCTTGCAGAGGTTCTTTTAGATGTCATTAATATTTATTGTGAGGCCTAAAAAATACGATGCAAAATATACTGAGGTTTAAACAGGGGAAAGACACGCTTTAAAAAATGCACGTTTTCAGGTCCCATTTATTTAATTATGGAGGTAGGGCTGTTTTAGACGTATCTCTGGCATCGAGAAACAGTAAACTATCAGTATTAGAAAATTACCACTACTTCAGTTTTCTATATTAAATATCTGGTACTATGAACACGGAGAAGTTCAAGTTGCATTACTGGGATGATTTCTAAAAATGTTATTGGGAAAATAAGAGCGATCACCATGATGAATATTGGATATAGAATAGAATAGAATTCAACTTTATTGTCATTGCACATGCACAGGTACAGGGCAACGAAATGCAGTTTGCATCCATCCAGAAGTGCTTTAGTGATATAGATATATTACAATAAATATTAGCAATAATATAGATATGTGAGTATATTACAGAAATGGGTCTATTATGGTATGTTATAATGTACACGGTGTGAAGTATGTTGTGAATATTCTATAACTAAGTATGTACAGGCTGTAGTGAGTACAAGCTATGTACAGGCTATGAACAGGATGTAAATATGAAAAACTATACAGAATATGAAATAAATAACTTTACAGAATCTGAGATATACAGCTATACAGAAATGGGAACTGTGCAAGTTGTAAACAGTTGTAGGGTTAAAAATTATCGTATGTACAGAATGATTATTACAGAGCTATACAGTAGTGCAGTTATGATAAGTGAGATATAATTCCTACAGAGGCTATATAAAGTGCTGGTGGTTGTGAGTGGTGTTTCAGTCCATGTTATTATTGTGTGTTTGAGGGTACAGTTGTCCATTGTGGGTGTGTGTATGTTCAGTCCATGTGTTAACGTGGGTCAGGAGGCAGGAGGATATAATGATGAAGAGAAATTTGTGCCTTCAAAAAAGTTCATTTGGATTTGGTACATGGTGTCATACTTGGTATTACAGGGAAGCTGGAAGAAAATGTATTTTTTCTTATTTATTTGTTTTTATTTATTTATTTTTGATAATGAGGCTTTAATATCTGTGCAACCATTTAGTTTCACATTCATTTGGACTGTTTGGGGGGGAAACAAAAACACCTCGAATATGAGAAATTGTAAACAACAATCGGCAACACGCCTCAAAGTCTGTTTTTAGATATCGGAGGTCCAAATAGTTTGGGGTTGAAGCATCTGGCATTCTGGCATAATTACTCACCTTGAGGTCTGTATTCGTAGCGCTCTAGTACCAGACATACACCCTAAAAAAATTTAAGTTCCTAGCTGAAGTAGGTTTCTAGATATTAGAAGTTTAAAATGGGCATTCAAAAATGATGCAAGAAAAGCATCATTTTTGGCCTATTTTTTTCTGTAGAAACATGACGAAAAGCCAGAGTCAGCTTTGAAGCTATGGATCATGGGAGGGGATAGAGAGAACTCCAAAGGAAAAGGTGTCTGTTTTAAAGCAAAGGTTATTTGCTTTAAAACACTGTAAACATGATCAGCAGACACAAGTCAATAAAGTTTAACTTTAAATAGTGAAGTTACTCAAGTAGCTGTGTCGAATGACCTGTCTGACCCAGTGTGCTAACAGCTGGATGTTTCGTTTTTGGTGACAGGGACGGACATTAATTGCAGTTGGTCTTGGTGTGGCTGCAGCAGGGTTTGCAGGTAATAATGGTTTGATTTTGAATTTGATTTTTTTTTTTATTTCTGTAGTTTGAAAGCTTTCTTCTTTTTTTTTATCTGGTTTAAATTTCTTGTGCATGTCTTGTGTTTAATCTACAGGCCGGTATGCTTTCCACCTTTGGAAGCCTCTTGGCCAAGTCTTCTCTGAAACTGTGAAGAAGATGCCTTCGTCAGTAAGTAAATGATGAACATCCTGCACAGCCACTGTAATGCTTATATCTACTCCAGGTGAATAATTGCTACTAGGGCTGCTCAATTAATCGAATTTTAATCACGATTATGATCTGGGCTTTCAACGATCATTAAAAATGACTGAGCCGATTATTAGCCCCTCCCTCGTGCTTTACTCTCGCGCTGCTCCGTGTGGCAAATCGAGCGCACCTCTGCATTTCGAACACGCCTCACAACAATTAAGAGGACCAAAAGGAAGCTCGGAAAGCTAAGCAGAAGTTATTTGGAGAGGAGAGTGACTGCCTTTGGTTGAAAAGAGAGGTAAAAAAAAAACTTCAGTGGTGTGGAAACATTATGGGTTGGCGGAGTCAGACGTGGATCAAGTAGACATAATGTGTAAACTTTGCTATGGTGTCGTAGCTGCACCACAGAGCAACACTGCAAAGTTCACTAAACATAGATGTTTACATTTTTCATTTATTTTTTATATTGCAAACATTTGCACTGTTATCAGTATTTGCACACTATTTTATATTATTTTTTTTAAAGTCATTATTCAATACATTGTTATTGTTAACCCTTTAAACCCCTGTAGAACCGGAGCCCTGTAAGCTAGCGCAATAATTTGTTTTGCATATGAAACCGGAGGAGTTGTACTTACATCTTATGTCATCAGCTTGTCCTCGGTCACGGTTTCCTTCCACATAAAGCTTTGCAGAAATTGCATAAAAAGCGCTTGCAGCAACAAAACATAATATTCCAGAAACACCTTTGCCGATCCGATCAGCTGTTTGTAACACTTCCCACATTGAAAAAGACGTCGATGCGAACTACCGCATGTCTGCCATTTCCTGTCCGAAACCGGAAGTGACATCATTTTCGCGGAAAATGTAGTTTTTTACTTGTAGGCCTTAAAAGCCTATACTGGTGTTTTTATAAGTCATATTTGACTCTATACTTTTCTGTATAGTTTCTGTGATGCTTAGAACTCAAATTGCACTGCTGGAAATAGTTTATTTTGATGCAGATGCTGTTTTCTTTGCAAATTTGCATCATAGTTTGTTTTTTTTGTTTTTCCTGCAGTATATAAAAATTGCTGTATCTCCAAAATAAAACTATGAAGACACTCAAAATAAATTTCCTGTGGTGGGAAACTATTTTTTGCAACTTTTTTGTATTTAAAGTTTTGAGGGATAAACCTCTTAAATTTCCTCAAGTAGAAATATATGTAAAAAAACAAACCAAAAACGACTTTCAATTTTTTTGTAGTTTATTGCGCTTTTTTGCAATTAATGTAATTACTATGGACTTAATGCATACATATTATTAAAATATGGGCTATAACAGGCTATAACAGCATGTAAAAAAAAAATAAAATAAAATAATATAAGCTCTGGCGGACTTGGTTCTATGGTAGGTCTTAAAGGGTTAAATAAATATCATCAAATAATCGAGATCTCAATTTCAGTGAAAATAATCGTGATTATCATTTTTGCCATAATCGAGCAGCCCTAATTGCTACACACTGTGCCACGTTAACATGTTGATCTCAGATATTACAGGCAGGTGGATTCAGGAAATACTGGTCTTGAGTCTTTTTCACCTGTCATTACCCAAACCATGTAAATAATAAAGGGAACTATTTTTAGGTTTCATGAACTTTTATGCATTTTTTTTGCCTGCGTGTGCACTTGTGGTATGGATTCTATGTGCTGTTTTTTATAAATGTTCTGCATTTGTCACCCTGAATGTTTCACACGTCATTTAAAAAGTATGTTTGAAATATATTCCTCCTCAGACTATTAACCTTTTTAAAGAAAGCCAGAGGGTGCTGTAGCTTTAGCCTGTCTTTAGAGGAATGATCTAAAAAAATCTGTTCTATCATAAAGTTATTTGGCATACATAATCAAAGGTCTAATACTGTGGTGTCTCCTCAGACTTTTTCATCATACTACAAAGGAGGTTTTGAGCAGAAGATGTCCAAACGAGAGGCCAGTCTCATTCTGGGCATCAGGTAATGCATCTTTTTGGTATAAATGATGTTGGTCTTCTAAAATGTGGCATATTTTTATCATTTCTAATTAATCACATGGATGTATTATGTTACATCCAGCCCAGCCAGCACTAAAGCCAAGGTACGAGAGGCCCATCGGAGGATTATGGTCTTGAACCATCCGGATAAAGGTAAACCTAAACCAGATCGATCTGTTATCTGTGATTATCTGTGATATTAATTCAAGAGATAAAGTTGCCTCTAACCAAAACCTGTCTGTTAGACTGCACGTAGAGCCGGTTTAGTGAGTTGCACCAAAATTGTTTTTGTGTTTGCAGGTGGTTCCCCGTATCTCGCTGCCAAGATCAACGAAGCTAAAGACCTTTTGGACAAAGAGACTCGCCGATGATGCACACTGTCAATGAGCACTAAAGACTTTCATCCCCCCTCAGCTTCAAAGTACTGCTTGAATGAGCATGAATACCGTACAGGGGAAACCGCTAAAGTTCAAGAGGATCGTTAAAAGGATTCTTTGTTAAGCTGCCAGAGTAACTTGTGTTTAACTGAATTTGTCACCTCTGTGATTATAAGGTTAATACATCCTTAAAGCCACCTGCTGTTATTTTACACATAGAAGTAATGTTGTATTTAAATGAAGGGGTTTGAAAGGATATATACACCACCTAGTGGCAGCTGGCTGAAAATGGAACAGTAATTGTGCTGAGTTCATTATTGGCTGTGTAAATATAATGAATAATGATCTATTTAAGCAGCAAGAGAACAAACTTGGTTTTCATATTTCAATGTTTTAATGTGAAAGTTAAAAAAATAAACTTAATTTGCAAATATTCACAGTAGGATCTATTTTTAGATATCAAGTTGAAATGTATTCAACTTAAAGTTTCAGAGCTATCTTACAGCTGTTCTATTAGAAATGTTGAACAATAAGCTGCCTTTGGCAACTCAAACCTGAAAAATAACCATACATTTTGTAATTTACCTGCTGTTTCTTTACCTGTAGCCATACATTTACCCATTAACCTGTTTTATGCTTTGCTGTTTGATACAAAAATTGTCATCATGAAAGCAACAAATCCATGAAGTTCAAAAGCTTTATTTAGAGAAGGATGCTGTATTGGTGTCATGGTACATGTGAATAGACAGAAGGAACAAAGCATATAGCAATTACACTTACAGCAGCAATTATTGGTCAAACACCAACCAGTTACTGAGAGGTTTGCTTGAAAAATGTCAGGGGAAAAAAAAAAAAAAGAATCCGTCCTTTTGGGATGTTGCTACGTTGGCTAATGACAACCAGATACTGGCCTCTGAGTGAACAGCACATGGTCTGATTTCCACTATGATAGGAAGTTTAACGTTTCAAGTCCTTGACAGACGTAAGAGTCATGAACACAATGTTACAACAGTGATGGATGACGTCCCAGAGACCGCATCAACGGGAAAAAGTTAAAGTCCAACTGAAATGAAAAAGAAATCGCTCTCCTTTATGCACATTTATTTGTTCGAATGTGTAACTACAGATATGAAGGCCCAAAAAGAATACAAAAACAATATTTTGAAGAAATGTTTTTAAAAAAAAAAAAAAAAAAAAACAGGGGGCAGTGTTCTAACAGCCAAACCCTAAATATATATCTGGATATAGCATGTCAGTCCATGATCAATATAAAACTGTAATAAATGAATAATCTGACATTTACATTTGATATACTTTATTACATCACACTAACCGCTGTAGTCACACACACTGCTCGACCCCAGCCATGGTCAGAGTGATCCATCTCCTTATCCTGGATCATGACTCACGTACAGGAAAATGGGATCACTTGAAAAAGAAACTACACCCACTCATTTGTACAAAGCAGTGTGAGAACTGCTGACTCAGCCACACTAAAGCTAGCCACGTCAAACAGTCTCTGCCTTCACTGTTGAGTTAAAACTCATTAGCACAAAATAATGGTAGCCGCTCATCCAGAAACTGAAAAAAGTATGCACATTCATGATCTTTAAAACAGTACCTGATGGTGTGTCTTGATGAAAAAATGGCCTCCTAGAAGCTGACTCATAGACACCTTTTCCTACTCCCATGTTACTTTGTTTAAACTACAGATGCAAAGTTTGCTGGTTACTTAAGTCAGTCCTTTAGTACATGTTTACCTTTACTAAGATATTTGCAGGAACACAGCTCTGCCATCTACAAAGTGGCTCATGTAACATAAAATGAAGCATCTGAAAAGCTCTGCTATGCTAATCTCTGTCTGTGAAGCCCTGCTCTTGCAGGTCAAAGTTGTTTTTTCCTGTGTCCAAGAAAATAAAGTTGGACTTTTGCTTTTGTTTTTTTATGTTAAAGCAGAAAGAAGTTCATCCAAATAAGAGCCTAAAAGCCATTTTCACTTAGCATAATTTATCTGAGTATTAGTTAACGCAGTTTACTACTCTGATGCCACTTTCTGTGAACCCTTGGTAGCAGAAGGCAGGTGTCCTTATTCTATATATGATCTACTGTTTAAGGTGTAACAGGCTGTATTCCTGCATTATTCATTATTATAAGAGTTTTTATTGCTGGAAAAAAGGAATGACACGTGTAGCACGCCGCTAACATGAGGCTAGGAATAAGGTGATTAATGTAGAGAAAATTTTAAACTTCAGGCAGACTTTAAAACAAATTCCAACGAGTACAAACCTTTTACTTTACACCGAATGAAATTTGTTCCTGATGCCTTTTTGAACTTTAAACATTTCCTCGAGTTCCAGAAAGCTGGACAGAAGCTTTTTTTCCAGCCTGTTTGTACTAAAGTACTAAAGTATCAGGACTGTTGATGCAGGAATGAGACCAACAGGAAGCACCATAGAAGCTCTGTCTACTGTAGGAATTGAGGAGGAGGAAGCAGTTAGATACAAGCTGGGACTATTCTCACCTGAAATGGATTATTTTACAGTTGATTATCATCAAAGGAGACATTCCAGTAAACAATTCCAGTATTTTACATTTGTTATGCCTGATCTTCCAGAACCAGATGGAGGAAAGGTGTCCAACATGTTTATCCTCTTGCAGGAAGTGTTATGCAGTGATGCTGATGGTGCAGTGTAGTCTTAATGTAGGGAAAAGCCGCTGCAGTAAGAGAAGCAGCCGACAGAAGGCGATCCTGCCCTAGGCGAGAACACGAGAGGTCTGTAGAAATCAGCAGCCCTTCGCTGACAGGCTTCATTAAGGCTGCTTGGTTTAACATCGTCAGCGATCCATTAGCAATCCTGTGTAGCCCTCTCCAAATCTTCATCCTGCTGCCCTACATCCTCCTCCTCTTCATCTTGGTCTTCTTTCTCACTAAGTTCTTCTCCAATTACATCTAGTCTTGCATCTTGCCCATTCAACACTTCTTCCTCCCTCTCATCCCCATCATTGTGCAGCCTCGCCTCCTGCAGTTGCAGCCGCCGCTCTTCCACCAACAGGAGGCGCTCTCTGACACCCTCTGCTGCTGCCGCCGTGTCAGTGGGACTCCCAAAGAACTGCTCGCTCCTGAAATCACAAGAACCCCGATTATGAGTTGCTTTTACATCATTACTGACAGGGACTAGAAATAGAGAGCATCCCATATCGGCTTCTCTTCAATGGCTCCCAGTTAAATTCAGAATCAAATTTATAATCCTTCTCCTCGCACACACGGTCTTGAATAACCAGACCTCATCTCATCTTAAAAACCTTATAGTACCATATCACCACAACAGAGGACTTCACTCTCAGACTGCAGGCTCACTTGTGGTTCTTAAGATATCTAAAAGTAGAATGGGAGGCAGAGCCTTCAGCTTTCATGCGAAATCAGCACTGCTCTTTTAATCATTAGTAATTATTAATCTGTGGCTCTCTTCCACAGTCTGTGTTTTATCCTCTCCTCCCTCATCCCCAGCTGATTGTGTGAGATGGCCACCCCTCTCTGACCCTGTTTCTTCCTGTTAAAAGGGAGTTTGTCCTTCCCACTGTTGCTAAGTGCTTGCTCAAAGGGTGTCGTTTGATTGTTGGGGTTTTCTCTGTATTATTTTAAAGTCTTTACCTTACAATATAAAGAGCCTTCAGCTGACTGCAGTTGTGATTTGGTCCTATATAAATAAAACAGAATTTAACTGAAAACTGAACTCATCAGGTTTGATAATGCAGGCATGTTTCAGAGGACCTTGCTGCGACATGACACCTGTAAGCCATGAGGTAGTTTATTACATTTCTGTGTTGATAACTGGCTCTTTATGTTAGGTTTATGCCAGTAATTACTGGTAACAAAAGCAAAGTGAATTCATGTGGCTCTAAATAGCCAAATAAGTGTTTGTATGATTTAGGATAGCATTAAACATATAAAGTCATAATTCAGGTACGTCAAATGAATGTGTACGTACCCATCAGGGAAGATCACAGGCATGGTCAGTCTGTCCAGCAGAGTTTTGCCCAAAGAGTCGACTTCATCTAAAGACTCCGCCTCCACACGTTCCTGCTGTAACACCTGGACCATAGTAAACATACAATTTAGACTTTAAATAACCGTGTGGCTTATTTTTAGTCAATAATGGCATGCTGACGCGTCCAGACTCGACACTGATGTAACATCTGACAGTTTAAAAGTGTTTTTCTCACCCTCTCAGCGGCAGTGTGGAAGTTGAGAGCCAGCTCCAGTCTCTGCTGTCGCTCCTCGGCGCTGACGCTGAACTGTTTCCAGACTCTGTTGAGGCGAGGCAGAGTGTCTCCGGACGAGCGCGTCGTACAGCGCAGAGACTGACAGAGGACGACGGTGGCCTGCAGCAGTTGGCGGCCATAATCGTAGGTGCTCTGAAGGAACAAGAAGACAGAAACATATTCAGTTCAATAACATCTAATATTAATATTTAAATATAATCTATTAGACTGACTGCACTTCATTTTGTGCAGACATTCAGACAGAAACGGCACCTGGATGATGAAACCCGAACGACATTTGTGATCCTTCGGCATCATTAGCTTCACAGTTTTGGTTTTGAAGAGCCAGCCTTAAACTAGCAAATAGATTTCCATGAAACTGGTTTGGACACTCTTCCAGCGAGATGAAACTAATTTAGTATGGCTTCTTTGCAAGATGTTTCAATTTTCAGCTACTTGGAGAGTTTGAGTGCCTATTAAGGTCATACTAAAGCATCTCATCTTGAATTGAAGTCCAGACTTGACTAGGCAACTCCAAAAGAATCATTTTGTTTTTCGTGTTTTGGACTTGCTGTTGTGTTTCAGATCATGTTCCTTCTAGATAATCCAGGTGTGCTTGAGCTTGTCCTGAAGCAACAAAGCAACCACAGACCATCAAACTACTACCACTAGGTTTGACTGTTGGTATGTTTGTTTTATTAAATGGTGTGTTAGTTCCACTCCAGATGTAAAAGGACTCAAACCTCACAAAAAGTTAAACTTTTGTCAGTCTACAGAATATTTTCTCAAAAGTTTGGGGATCATTAAGATATTTTTTGACAATTGTGCGACGAACCTTTGAGTTCTTTTGGTCAGTCTTCAGTCTCTCTCACTGTTAAAGCATGAACTCTGCCCTTAACGGAGGCAAGTGAGGCCTGCAGTTCTTTAGATATGTTGTTCTGTGTTCTTGTGTGAGCTCCTGGATGAGTGGTCGCTGCACACTTGGAGTAATTTTGGTCAACAGGCCATTCATGAAAGGTTTGCCACTGCTTCAAGTTTTCACGATTTGTGGATAATGGCTCTCACTGTGGTTCACTGGAGTACCAAAAGCCTTAGAAATGACTTTGCCTCCCTCTTCCCGCTCCAACACACCCACCCACACAAGTAGGGCCTTGGGGTGCAGGTGTGTCACCAAGGTGCAGGGGAGGCATCCCTCCCCCCGTCCCCCCCGTCCCCTTCTGGCTGCCTGTGCCTCAATTTTATTCCACAACTTAGACATCCACATTACTCACACTCTCATAACACATATATATAGGGCCTTGAGGGTGGGCACGTTAACGGCGTCCAGTGGACGGTCTGTGTATTCAACCCCACCTCTGGCGCCGGTGACCACCTCTCAATTTTAAATCCATGTAGGCATTGAGGGTTCTCGGGAGGGGCCGTGCTAACACCCGCTGCACTCTGGCAGCAGCACCATGCTCGCCCGTGTTTTAAATGAACCTTAGAACAACACACAGCAACACTACACATGAGCGAGAGGAGGGAGGTTTGGGGTCTTCACACACCCCTGTTCTCTGCTGGCCATCGGGGCGGGGGGGCTGCGAGGAGGTGTTGGCCGTCCGATTGGGATCTGGGATGCGGGGCCTCCCTGCTGCTGCGGAGCCTGGGGCGGTCTGCTTGCCTCCACCCCGGGGGAAAGGGTAGCATCTCCTGGGTCTAGGTGCCGTTTCCCCCTCCATGGGCGAGGGTACCTGGACCCGGGGTATAGAGTTTGTTTGGGGAGTGTGATTGTGTGTACATGTCCATGTATGTCTATCCCTACGTTGGGTGAGTGCTGAGTATTTGTATATGTGTGCACGAGGGTGGGAACGCATGTTTGTGTCTGTGTGTGCCTGTTTGTCTGTGTCTATATGTCAGGTCGGGTCTTAGACTCCACCTCTCTGGGAACTCCCAGGCCCTCCAAAGGCCTATCTCACCACAGTCCCTGCCGGTAACTGATGCCCTCAGGGGTCGGTGCGTTGGTGGTTCTTGGTGTCCAGGGCTGGGCACTCAGGTATGTACCAGCTCACTCCCGGTGACTACTTGGCGGGGCCTGGTGCCTGTTGCACGGTCAGGCCTCTTCCGGGGCAAAGGGGGCCCTTGGGCCTCCGGCCTCTGGGCCTGCAGCTCGGTTCACTCTGGCACAGCTGGCTGCCGGCAGAGCCAGCGGGCACGCCGGTGGAGCCCCCTCTGGCTTCTGCTCCATGGCTACTGGGTGACCCCTCATTTGGGGCTGTCCTCAGCTCTTCCCAGGAGGGTGGCACGATGCCCCTCTGGTGGTCCTCCTTGGGCTCTCGCACTCTGGGGCCTCTGGATGTCTGGAGCCTGGATCTCCTCCATGCCTGCTTCATGCCCTGGGAGACGGGGCTATGGCTCGCTACATCCTCTAGCAGACCATTACATGGGGAAACCTTTTGAATTGAAGCGTGCTGATCCACACAGGTGTGCACACGGGTGTTCACTGTTCATAGACATAAACTACACCTTTATTGGCTGCTATTTCCAAGCACATTGTGCGCTGTCGGTCCTGCGTGCTGCACAACAACATTCAATATTTAGTATTTACTGCTGTTTACACTTAGCTAGACTAACATGATGTTGTTGTGTTTAGTATGTTGCTGGGGTTTTTTTTGCTTGTTTTCTTCTTTTTCTCTCAACAGGTGATCCAGGAGATTTTTTTCTCTCTTCTCTCTCTTTTTAAGAGCCCTTTCTCACTGTCCCTCTTCCCTTCTGTTTTTCTTTTCCTTCATCTTTCTTTCTCCCTTTCCTATCCCTCAGTCATGTCTGTCCCGTCTGTAACAACTGAAAATAAAATAAAAAATAACAAAGGTTGATCAAATGCACCAATACGGCAAGGCCATGATGATCCATTTGGCAAAGTAAATCCATTGGGTATCCTTGTTGGTCTTCAGACAACAATTCTGACGGCTAAAGAACCAAATGGGACAGGCAAAAAAAAAGAAATGACTTTGTAACCTTTTCCAAACTGTTTCTTTAGATTGTGGCTTGATGAGTCTTGATTCAGCAGCTCTGGCAGTAATCAGGGTCGTCTCCGTCTAATATTTAAATTTGTTTGATGGTTTCCAACATTTAAGTGTGAAAAACACACAAAACACTAAGACATGAGGAATAAGGCAAAAACGTTATGAGCACTGTCATGCTGATGTTTAGGTACATCAGCTGGATTTTTTATGTTAGCTAAAGATCAAGTGAAGCATCTCACCTGAGCGACATCCACAAACTTCCTGTGTTTGTCCAGCATGGTCCTGGTCTCCTGAGAGTCGTCTCCCAGTCTGACGTGAGTCTTCAACAAGGCGTCCAACAACTCACTGAGCCACTCCACTGCCTAACCAGATGCATGCACAAATTAATCATAACATAAACACATGAAATCCACATATGTGTGTGTGTTTTGTTGCGTTTTGTGTTGCATTCCTCACCTGCAAAGCGTCTTCTTCACATTTAAACAGTTGGACCATCTGTAGCATCTTCAGCCTCCTTACGTCCACCATGTCCTCACATCTGCAACACACACAGTTAAATATGCCTTCAAGTCTGGAAAACAAACAGCAGAACAGATTTTCACACCACATGCTCTTGCTGACACAACACCACAGGGAACTGTGTCTAATCTCCTGGGGGGGTTTGCTTGTTAGGTAATTGTGTAAACCGCTGCCACTACCACAAACAAACCACATACCTCAGAATCTGAACCATTAATGGAGCGGCAATACAAAGTTTGTCCTGAAGGTGGAGCCAGAGGACAGGGAAGAGAAAAGTTTAATATTTGAACAGTTCCCTTTTTTTGTGGGTGTAAATGAGAAAACCCAGAATGTAGATGAAGCCCAAAACTGGAAAGTTCACTGTGTAAAACATTTGATATTTCTGGAATTTTTTAAAAACATGATATTAGCCTTGTTAAATTATAAATAAAAGGACAGCAGTATTTGTTTTAAATATCCACCTGCATTTTGCACAGAAGCAAACAACTCTTTGTTTTTCCTTAGCCATTAAGCTTTATTCACTCATTTTTTGAGGATTATCGCATGAGTGAGATCTGAGAGAATCACAATCAGGATCGGGGACTTCAGATATCGGCTTTGGTTTTTATCCTGTTAGGAGTGGGAACAGGCAGTTTTTGACTCTAGCTTCAAGTGGGGAGTTAAATACAGCTTCCTTCTTGGCAAAAAAGCCCCCCAAAAACCCTCACTCACCCCTCCCTGTAGCAAAACAAGACAAAAGTAACCTCTGCTTGCGAAGCTGCATGTCCTCCATCACAGACTGGATGTGTTGAACGCTGTCCTGCTGTTCTGTGGTTGGACTCTCCGTTTCCTCCAGAGGCCAGGACGGCTGGCTGCACGTCTGCTCCAGCAACAACGCCCCCTTCTGTCGCAGCGAGGTAAGACCTGCCTCTGCATTGGAGGAGATTGTTAATGTGACGGAGCACCTTCATGAAAACCATTAATTATCCTGACGGAAAATAAGGGGATTGATTGTTCTTGGTACAAACCAACAGTCTGCAGCTTCTCCTCCAGCAGTTTGAGGTTTTGTTGAATAGCCGCTCCATCAGCTGGAGCCACATCAGCGCAGAGCATGCCCAGCAGACCGTCCAACTGCTGAGACAACTGCAGAGACAGAAAACAAGCAAAAAAAACCTGGATCAGTCTGAAGAAGTCATTAGCATTTTCACAGGTCTACCCATCCTGGATAACAGCAAGACAACATTACAGGTTAGAGTAGATTTCTGCTGTCGAGCTAGGCTAATAGCCTAGCAGTGCTAAGACTGTGCTTTACCTCCTGCGTGGTGCTGTGAAAGCCCTGTGCTGCCTGCAGGACGTTCTGTCGGCTCTCCAGCTGAGCCGCCTGGCGGTAGCAGACGTCGCTCAGCTGCTGCTGCAGTGCCTTCAGCTCGGCCACTTCCTCCTCCTCTCCGGTGCTGAGCAAGGCAGCAATCTGCTGGTTCAACTCCACATAAACAGCAAACCACTCCTGTACACACAGCGAGAGACAGAATTAGCTCGTGCCTCACAGTCCTCAAACACCAAAAGCGAGTTTCTGTGATCTTTTAACAGGGAAACTAAAAACAGCAGCCGACTCATCAGATTGTTCAAATCACATGATTCTGATCACGATGTTGTGTGTGTTTCGTTACACTGTGCTGGCTCTCGATCTCCTCGTGTTTTTGTTGCAGAGCCTGAGCTGATCGAATCGAGTCCCCGATCGTTTGCTGAGTCTTCAGCAGCTCTGAACCCGGACCCTGCAGCCAGGTGACCACCTGGAAGAGAGAAACACAAAATACATGATCTCCTACAGAGTCAGGAGGACAATCTACTCTGGGTACCTTCGCAAGCCGGCAAACTTGAAAAATGGTGACCATAAAAATGTAAGGAAACATGTACATTTGGTTGACATCTCACGCAGAGCCAGTACACTGAAACTGAAGCATCTGTGCTGAATTTGGCTGTTTTTATTACCATTTTCTTTAATGCTTCAAGTTAAAAAGCAATGAAACTGTCAGCAACTTCAACGCGAGGTCGATAATGCATGAAGGAGAATTTGAAAGAACTTAAGGGAAACCACAGCAAAGCCCAGTGCTTAAAGAATCTGACTACATTAACTACACTCCTTAATAACGTGATGTTAATAAAATAATAAATAAAAATAAAGTCTTTCCTCGTATGGGCCACTACATTAGGCACACTGAATACAAATCAACAGCTAATAACATGGAAGCAACTCCATGTGTTTAGGCATGTAAATGTGATCAAGGTGAGCATCAGAATGAGAACGTTGAAGACTTTGAGCGTAGCTTGGTTGTTGATGCCAGACAGGATGGTCTGAGCATTTCAGAAACTGCTGATCTGCTGGGATTTCCCCCCACAAAACCATCTCTGGGGTTTACAGAGAATGGCCCAAAAACGAAAAAACATCTAGTCAGCAGCAGTTCTCTGGGTTAAAATAGGCTACAGTAACTCAAATAACCTCTTGTTATAATCAAGGTATGCAGAAGAGCATCTCTGAACGTAATAAAACATTGAAGCAGATGGGTTATAGCAGCAGAAGACCACACTGGGTACCACTCCTGTCAGCCAAAGGCAGAGGCTGAGGCTACAGTTCACAGCTGCTCACAAAATCAGAAAGAGAAGACCGGAAAAACTTTGCCTTGTCTTCTGTCACATTCAGATGATAGGGTCAGAATTTGGCATAAACAACAGGAAAGCAGCATTGTATTAAAAATGCTGGCTGTTGCTGATGGTTTAATGGTGTGGGATTTTCTTGCCACACTTTAGGCCCATTACATCAAACAGAGCATCGTTTAAACGCCACAGCCTAACTGTATATATATCCATCTCTTTCCTGCCAACTATGTAACAAAGCTCAAATCATCTCAAACTGGTTTCTTGACCATGGCAATGAGTTTACTGTACTCAAACGGCCTAGGTAGTAGAGCCACTCAAGCATCTGGATTGCATGCACTTCTGGATCATTTCACTCTCCAACAGGAACCTTGGTGCATCTCAGAGCAGCAGAGTGACCAGCAGGATCTTTGAACCTACTGCTGCCAGACGTGATATCAGTATAGATCATCACATGCTTGAGAATTAAATTAGAATGATCAGTGTAAAGTAAACCAATGTGTAAGCAATTAAAAAGGATTTCTCCTTGTCAACATCAAAGAGTGGAGCCACACTTTTTCTTTTTCCCCCCTTTTTCCACAACAAAACCTACGTTTTCTTTAAAAAGGAAGCATTTACCTCTGTCTGGTAAATGTTTCCTTCTCACAAACTCTAAACCCAGTCTGCCTGTTCATGTAGTGAGTTTTAAATACAAGGAAAAACCAGGATGCCAACACCTGTGACATCACATCAAGAAAGCGGGCTTCATGTGCAGAATTGGTGATGGGTCTGAAATGTGTGTAAGGTTTCCCTGGAAAGCAGTATTTGCATGATCATCATTTTACTCAATAATCTAAAAACAGCTATCAGTATGAAGGCTGTCTGTGTGCTTGTATTTATACAGCACAGTAACCGCTTATCCAGGTGTGTGTGTGTGTGTGTGCGTGCGCGTGCGTGCGTGCGTGCGTGCGTGTGTGTGTGTGTGTGCGTGTGTGTGTCAGGATCATAACTTGATTGTATTTATCAGGTCAGTGATGCCTTGAAGAGCTTGGGCACACACATGAACAGTTTGATCAAGATCTAGGCCAACTTTCCACAACTACCTCAAATCCTCCGAGCTAGTGACCGATATTTTTCAGTTACTATGGTAACCCTAGGCTCATCTCCAAGACACTGGTGTTAACCATCAGCCCCTGCAGCTGAAAGAACTCCACAAACAAGCGAGTTTACTTCATCTCGCCCTCAAGTGCTGCTGAGCAGTGAGGCAGCTCACTGACACCAAGGGTCAAAAATAAAAGTTGCTAAAAAGGATGAAACGCAGCAGTGTTTGCACATGAAACTGAAATATATTGAGATGGACACTCGATGCATGTGTGCGCGTTACCTGCATGACTTTGGCGTGGATCTCATCAAGCTGGGTGCGTTTGTTTCGCTGCCTGCAGAGCTCCTGGTATCTGGTGTACTGCTCTCTGAGGGAGTCCAGCAGCTTCATCACCTGAGGCTGAGCCAGCAGCTCCTCTTCCATTGGACACCAGGCTGGACCTGAAGTTCAGAGAGAGGTCAGGAAGAAGGTCTGTGGGATTTTAGCATTTCACATCTACTCTTACAAAACGTGCTGACAATGGTTCCTCATCAGGAAACTGAAATATCAGCTCTCTCGTGTAGGATACCCCGGCACTATAAAATGAACTGTTCAAATAAAACTTTATCACTGTTTCTCTAAACTTTAATGATTAATTCACAATAGGAAAACTGAGCTAAGGTGGATTGAGGAAATAAACTATACTGATCATCTGCAAGTGTGATCACCTCTCTAAAGAAGTAGTTTGGGACGTTTGCTGCACTGGAACATTCAGTTGTTTTTAATAAAATGTCTCAAACTTCCCAGGAATAGATGTCCCAGCAAATTCACTCTAAAGTCTGACCATGTAATATATTCAGGGGAAAAAACCCTCAAAAGTGGCATCTCATAAGTTCATGACAGTGCAATTAGAAAAGACTTTACAAGTATGGTTTGTGTTGAAGGGTTGGCGAAAGCCTCAAAAAAAAAAAAAAAAAAAAAAAAAAAAAAAAAAAAGCATAGCAGCACAACGGTTTGAAAAGCTGCATCTGAACAAACCACAACACTTCTGGAACAATGCTCTTTGGACAAACAAACGACACCACAGTGGAGATGTTTGGCTGTAACGCGCAGCACCACATTTGGTGAAAATCAAACTCCTCTTACCAACTTTCAAACACAGTGATGGAGGAGTGATGATTTGGGCTGGTTTTGCAGCCACAGGACCTGGGCAGCTTGCAGTCACTGAATTGTTCATGAACCCCTCTGCATACAAATTATTCTAGTCAAATGTGGATTATGCAGCAGGACAATGATCCCAAGCACAGGAGCAAATCCACAACAGAATGACTGAAAAAGAAAAGAATCCAAGATCCAGAGCTCATCCGGATTGAAAAGCTGGGATTTTAAGAGAGCTGTGCATCAACAAATGCTCCAAATCCAAAAAACTGAAGCAATGGTGTAAAAAAAACAAAAAAACACAATGGGCTAGAATTCTTCCACAGTGATGTGAGAGACTGATAAACTTTAAGCTTAGTCAGAGTTTAGAAGGGCTCCATCTAAATTTACTTTCATTTCCATGGTTATACTTCCATAGCAACTTTTCTGGCTCTCTGCCAGTGCAAGGTTTAGTCCCATCAGGCCTGACGATGCTATACTGCATTTACCTCACAGCATTTTGTGATGATTCTACATGTGCAGCTTCTTGAAGACATACCACAGTAGAAGCAGATCAGCATGAACTGAATTAGTGGATGCTGAGGCCTCAGCTGTGATGTTTCTTAATTCTTAAACAATGTTACACAGAACTCCAGTAGCCAACACAGCATCCACTTACACTGCGTCACACTGTACTGTACACAGTGCATAGTACTCTCCAGGAAATGAATGGCTGCATTCATGCGCCAAACTCCAGAGAAAACAAAGGACACCTCTTAATTAATCTGTGCATCACCCTTCTGTCTGAGCTGAGCCAGCACAGCGACATTTGGGTGACTGACAGCTGCTTGCTCACCTCCCTGTCCTCCTCCTCCTCCCTCTGAGCCGTTGAAACGTCGCTGCTGCAGCTCCGACAGCAACTCATGACCTTCAGCAGACACACACAGAGACAGAGAGAGAGGAGAGTTGAGATTTAAAAAGGTGGTAAAAAAAAGCATCAGAAGCAATAATGAGTCAATGCTTGTGTAAATGTTGCTAAATTACGAAAGGATCTGGTGGAGGGAGGAGGGTGGTACTACAAACAAAGACTCCTTTCACCTCAGCCCAAGACGCACACACACACACACAATCATAGGCCCCTCTGTACAGTCAACACATCCATCCTTCCTGTGTTTTCAGTGTGTTCTTTAGATTTTGATGGTAGCAAACTTGCAATGGGGAAAACATGTTTAAAAAATACAATTTAAAAACATTCCTTGTAAATGCAACGATGAAATCAAAACAAAAACCACACAGCTTGCTTTGTTTAAAGGTACAGTGAGTAAAATCTCACCAGTAAATCTCAATAAATCGCAGATTGCTGAGTCCTGTTTTCTTTCCGCTCCCAATTCGAATGCATAATCCGAGCTACAGTAGCCACTGTAGGACAAACAACTCTGGCTGCCCTTCATCCGTAGTAAGTGTAGGCTGTCAGTTTGCTGTTTAACCCAGCTATCGATATGTGTCCACATCCCTTTACTCTGGAGGAAGCCGTAAAACTTTGTGAAAGCAGTCCGATATGAGTTGATGAATTAGTGAAGATCGCTTCTGTTCGATGACAGCGATACTGAGGTGAATGTTGAGGATGTCCTGAACTCTTTTGTCAGCAAGCACTGCCTTTTTTGCTGCTGACAGCCTGTGTTATATATTTGTGTATATTTATGAGTACAAAATTATTTATTTTTGCATTAAATAACCTGAAAAAAAATAGTGTCTTTACTGTTTGAAAAATGGTTGTGTGTGTTCTTCCAGTTTTGTGCCCATGGCTCAGGACTGCAGAAGCCAAGTGTGTTGTGCTGACTGGCTAATCATTAATACCTCCGCTGTAGTTACTGAACTGCGAAACCACCGCTTTCTAGAATCCAAGAACTCAATCAAGTGGATAGAGTCTCGAGTGGGAGTGGAACGCCCACCTGCCTTATCAATCAGCACTTTTCATTCAACATTACCAGTTAAAATACAGATTTTAATCAGCAAATAACCTTAGAAACAGCTCCACTAGAGCACCCAGCGTGGCTGACATCTTTGAAATCTTTAAGAAATATCTGTGTTTATTTTTTTATTTCCACAGTGTGCAGCACCCACACACACCCAAGCACACTGTAGCAAAGATTATGCAAAATGCCTCGACTTCCTAAATGATCATTCTGCTGCAGTGGTCTATAAAAGCAAAATTACTTTAAATTGTGTCACTGCCCAAATACTCACAGACAGACTGTTTGTGCTCTTGGCAAGCTGTAGTTGTCACGTCTTTGTAAAGCACTCCAGTCAACATTTGATGTATTTAAACATGCTCTATTAATTTTTCCTGTGTTAGAATTGTATGTTTCTGCAGCAAGAAGAGCAGAATGATTGTTCAGTCAACCATCATGTCTGTGCTTCATTATCGAGATATTCTCTCCCCTCCTGCCGCCTGCTTGACCTGAAAGCTTGATACAGTTTATCGTTGTGCTTTAGGAGCTATCATAGAAATCACTGTGTGCTTTGTGAAGAAGTAGGTTGGACCTCAATGGGGAAAAGAGGAATGCACTACATTATTTTTCCATTCACAAATGTCCACTACCTGATTTTCAAAACCACTGCTCATCTTATCAGGAGTATTTAATCACTCCTCAGGTCAACGCTAAACTGACCTTTCAATCCACTGAATCATTTAAAGAGGCTTAAAAAAAGTCGAATGCCTCCTCACGCTGGGTGTTGTTACTATCGAGAGTTGCATGTATTTTACCTGCTAGTCCAGCAGTACAAATGCAATCACATTTACATTATCTTAGTTCCTGAAAGAGGATAAAGTAAAGAAAATGTATATTTACCAGTCTGAAGGACAGTCTCAGGGTCAAACGATGGCAAGAGGGCACAGTCGGCAGATCTGCAGAGGACAGACAAGACACACGGCTCTGGATTTCACCCGTCTGCCCTCAGTTTAGTTTAAACTGTAGACGTACGTGTGTGTGTGTGTGTGTGTGTGTGTGTGTGTGTGTGTGTGTGTGTGTGTGTGTGTACTTACTTGTCCTTGTCCATTGAGCTGCTTTTATCAGCATCATTGATGATCGACAGCTCGTCCAGCAGTGACGTAGACTCCTTCGTGAACTTCTCAAAAACCTGCAACAAAGCCAAACACTCAGTTCTGGTGCCAGGTTACCATGGCAACAAATATTTTAAGTTACAGAAATCCCTCGAAAGCATTAATAAATAAATAAATAAATAAATAGATAGATACCAGTCTCTTGTTGAGCCAGTCGCTGTGGTCATAGTCCAGACTTCCTCCGAAATCATCCGTCAGCTGACACGGTTCAATGTAACGAGTCAGCTTATTGGCTGAAACCAGGATCACCTGACAGGAAGCAGAGATGCCAACATGCAACACATATCAGTAGGGAGAAACACACTAAACACACTGTGTGCTATTTTGAGAAATGTCATGTAGGTTCCAATATAGAAGTAACACAGAGGTCAACCTGGACTATAGAAACTAACACGAAACTACAGAACACTTCAGAACATCTAAGTCAGCCAGAACAGACAGTCTATCATAAAGCCACTCAATATTACTTTCAGAATTACAGTTTGTGTGACCTTTTAAAAGAAATGCTTTATTAATGTTTTGGAAATCTTACCTTTTGTTAGAAGTATTTACTAATTAGTCCATAGCTTCATCACATATATGTAACAGCAGGCATCAAACGCAAGGCCTAAGGGCCCAAATCTGGCCTCCAGTGACTATAAATCTGTCCGTACTAGTTGTAGCTGTGATCTGCACATCGATATGCAACGCGCACGCACCACAAAACTAAATAGAGGCGCACTCAATTGTACCTGCAAGCTAATACAAAAAGGCACAAAAAAATAAAAAAGGCACAGGAGAAAAAGGAACATTGAGGGCAGACGATTTCAAGATGGTTGTTAGGTGCTACATATGGTGCTGCATCCATTTACCACGAGACACTCTTATATGTCTTGGATTTTGAAACCACACAACCAGCAGGGAAACTAAGCTACAGACTTGGAAGAGAGTCTTCAGAAAGACACAGGCACACACAACGACGAATAAAATATCTTTCTATCAGCCGAATCTCAAAGTTTCATTAATGGCTAAGTGGTAAGACACCAAGGCAACTTGTTGATTATCTATTGATTTGTTGTGGCTTTTATGTGGATCAATGTGTAAATGTATAACGTAAGGCTACATGGGACATGAATGAGCATCCACCCAGGATATTTTATTTGGATTGAAGTAGGGCATGTCAATAAACTGTATACATTCAAGTCCATCATTTGTTGGACAAATACAAATTTTTTTGCTACCACAGAGGATTTTCAATCAAACAACATGTGAAAACATGTCACTGAAGTGCAGAATATCAGCTTGAATTCAACTAATTAAAGCATTGCGTTAACTCCATGGAATTACAGGTTTTAATACATAGAATCCCAATTAGTCCTCTGGCATGAACCTGAAACTGGAAGAAAAGAAAAGAAAAGAAAAAATAACACCTGCACAGTCCTGAACCGATGAAGATGTGTTTATTGATGATGTGACTGTTGATAGGAGAGGCACGATGAATTGTGAAGTGTACAGGGCTAAAGACTCTGCTCAGACAAATACTGCAAAACTGATGGGACTGTACTTCACTGTGTAAATCGATAATGACCCAAAGCATACAGCAAAAAAACAAGTGTCGAGTGTCTCGATGCAAAGAAATCAAGACTTTTTCAGCGGCAAAGTCAGTCACCTGATTTCAGCCCAGCAGAGCGTGCATTTCAGTTATTAAATACAAAACTGAACACAGAAAGACTCACAAACATGCAGTGACTGAATGCGTCTGCAGCAAAGGCCCAGCAGAGCAGCTTTAGGGAGGAAACACAGAATATGGTGATGTCCATGGATTCTAGATGTCAGTCACTGGCTGCTACGGATTCTAATCCAATAAACAATCCTTACATTTAAGATCATGTTTGTCTGTCTAATTTGAGGCTCTGATATCAGTGATTGGTGGATTAAACACAGTTTCTTCAATCTCTGCCACATGCCAGGCAGCCAGTCTGTGTGTTCATGTCTCAGGAGCCCTGTGAGACATAGGTATGTCTGAGGAAGGGCATGCATAACTAGTCCTTGTTTTCAGAGGACATTTAGAAGCCACTGCACTGAGTGCTGATTGTTTGGATCCATCAACCAAGCGGAGTGCTTGGAACACAATAAACTTCTCTTTTGGCTTTCTAAATCTGAAGGTGGCGCGTTCAGCATTCCTGAAATGTAGTTTTTAAAAGAGAACAAACAAATATGAAGTGCCTTTTGTTTTGTTTGCTTTTTTAATTGCTGCTTTGTAAGTAAACCTGCTAAGACAGCTGACGTTGAGTCGAACTTCCAGTTGTCACTGCAACAGATGCCGGCAGACGAATTGGACTCAGCTAGCGTGTGTCTGCATGTTTATTTAAATGTGAGGTCAGATGTTTGAGCAGCTGTACAACCCACACCCTGCTGTGTCACCCTCAGAGACACTCCATAGTTCGGATGAGTAACATTTCAGCACCATCACTGGAATCTCTAACAACTGTGTGTGCGTGTGCGCAGAGGGGCGTGCACAGCAGAGATGTGGCCACCAGTGACAACGCAGCATGTATGAAATTCAGCAACTTGTAGCGACTACAGAAAAAATAAAAATAAATAAATAACTGCTGGGTATGCCAGTGCATACTTAAAACTTATCTAAACTTTGAAGCAACTGTTAATACATTTAGAAAAGACAAAAAATAACTGATTGAGATATGACAGTGTGACAAATATATTAGAGGTTTAGCTATGCAACCGCAAGACCGCCAGCAATCAGCCACAAGCTCAGTGATGATGGTCTGTGTATGAGCGGTAATACTCCAGTGCATTGAATGAGACAGATGTAATTTATGAGACCACCAGCTCTCTTTCTTTTGACCATATTATTTTAAATATTTAGCTCATGAGCTGACTTCTGAAATGTTCACATGTCCTTAAACGCACCACCAGGGAGATTTCTTGCCCTGAGAACAAAAACCAAAAAAGCTCCAATTTCACTACTAAAATAAAGTCACCTTAACATTGGCTGTGACGGATTATCTTTATTTAACAACTATCAAGTCGATACAGATCAACCAACTTGCTCCGGTTGCCATGGTAACAATCGTGGAGCCAACGTGGCTGTGGAAATCTGGGTCACAATGACTACTGATCTCTGTCGGTAAAACCATCTGTTGTAATAGAGGAGGAGGCAGACACACAAACACACTCACACTCCATTGATCCTGTCTCAGGTTTCCAGCAGCACTCAGGACAGTTAACGACGCTCAAGGTTATTATAACTGGCGTACTTGCTCTGTGCGTGATATCGGGTGACAAAGATCAGAAGGGTACGTGTGCGTTTTAAACCAAAAATCAAGAGGAAAAGAAAATGAGAATGAAAAAAATCGTTTGGTTCATTCCAATGTTGGAGAAAAACTGGGACATTCACACTGGTCCAAGTCCTCCACGTAAAAGCAGCCATTTCATCCTTTAGGTGTGGCAGTTGCACTGTTTTTGTCTGAAGACGGGGAGGACACAAAGTTGCACCAACAACCTTTTGATGACTGAGAAGAAATCAATTCAACTTTATTTACATAATGCCAAATCACAACAACAGTAACCCCACAGTGCTTTATACTGTAATATAAAGACCATACAATAACAGACAGAAAACCCGAACAACTACACGACCCCCTTTGAGCAAGCACCTGGTGATAGTGGGAAGGAAAAACTCCCTTTTAACAGGAAGAAACCTCCAGCAGAACCACACTCAGCAAGGTGCAGCCACCTGCTGTGACTGGTTGGGGGTGAGGGAAAGAAGACAAGACAAAAGACACACTGTGGAAGAGAGAGCCAGAGCTTAATATTAAGTAATGATTAAATACAAAGTGTTGTATAAACACATAGAAAGTGAAGAAGAAACAGTGCATCATGGGAAGCTTCCAGAAGTCTCAGCCTCCTGCAGAGTTACTAAGAGAGGATTTCAGGGCCACATGATCCTTTTATCGAAAAGAAGTGTTTTAAACCTAATCTTAAAGAAAAGTAGAGAAGGTGTCTGTCTCCCAAATCCAAACTGGAAGCTGGTTCCACAGAAGAGTGGCCTGAAACCTCAAGGCTCTGCCTCCCATTCTACTTTCAAGTATCGTAGGAACCAAAGATTTTCCAGGATGAATAGTAAAACTGATTATTTCGCATAAACTGGCCCTGAAGTAACCAGTGCACAAGTGACTGACTTAAGAGTCAGCACAAAACAAAGTGAAAAGAAAATAAATACAATATTGGTAAATGGCCTGTATTTGTATAGCGCTTTTATTAGAACCACTTCTCACAGCTGCAGTAACAGGAGTCTGGAGCCACGCAGCTGTGTGGGGCTATACTTAGGGCAGAGCGTTGCACTGCGAGAGATGCCAGAAAAAGCACAAGCAGCCTGCTGATAATGACCAGTACTAACAAGGTTAAGTTTTACAGGTATCCCACTACCACCTCTATAGTTTAGCATAAGCACAAAGTGAAGCCGATGTGAGCACAGTTTGTAAGTTATTGCCCTGATGCCGATGTGTGGCCATGGATTTCCGTCATAAAATGATGAGCATGATGAAACATGATTGCAAGCAGATGTTATTTCCCTACAAGCAGGTATCCCGACACGCAAACTTAACAACTGCATGTGTAAAAATAAGCAAACAAAGCAGCCACCATATGCTGTTAGGCCCTCTCAAGTGCTAGGGGAAGGACTACCTCTCTTGCAAGCAACTGCTTGTGAATTTAAAAGTCTACATGTGGGAATCAAGCTGATTTTTGACAGGCTGGAGATGGAAACTAAGAGTTTACACCACGTGTGACAGAAATCTAAAGCCAGAGCTTTGGATTAGGTGTCACCATTTCTCAAAACCAAAACATGTATAATACTGCAAAAAAGAACAGTGTTAGTCTCTGTTTCTTCTTAAGGTTATATGGAACATGGAAAGTTGGAGCAGTGATGAAGGGAACCAAACCCCACTCTAATAATCTGAGGTTTACAAGAAATGTTTCTCACACGCCGGCCATTTGTTTAAAATGGCCCCAGATGGGGAAAATCACAGCTTCACGTGAGGCAAAATATGACTTGTTTTCATTTGAGGTACAAATCTTCAACATCCACAAACCCACTGCTCCAGAGAGAGATCGTGTTTTAAGTGTAAAGTTAGCTGCAAGCTGAAGCAGAAGCAGCTCAGAGACTCACCTCAAAGCCCAGACGGTCTTTCTCCTTCCAGAAGCAGAAGTGTGTCACCTTCTTATCCCAGAATTCATCTGGCTTCACCACGCAGACCAACGACACTTCAGGTGGGATCACATTCTGAAACAGCATCAACGCCATCATTAGCCCGCTGCTTTTTAAAGAACACCCATAGCAGCCAATGCATTAACACAGCTTAAGCCTGCGTTGTGCCTGCGGGGACTCTAAATGTGTTTCTACCTGCAACATGAGCACCACAGTCTTCACGGTGTTCCACTGAGACTTCCGTCCATCCACGATAACAGTGAAACCTCGAGCCTTACACTTCTCACTGGCACAGACAAAGAGAGGGAGTGTGTTACCAACAGCGCACGCACACCCCATCATTTACATACACAGTTTCCTGTTTGAGCATCATTTGGGTAGCCAGCTCACCAAGCTGCTGCTACCGAGGCTACTTTATGTTTTCTTCACAAGTACAAATGGTAACAAAAATAAAGCCTGAGACTATTTTTTATTTGTTTTATATGCTTTTCACACATTCCCAGCATCGGGTATATTTCTGCTCCTCTTTCAAGTCCATCTATATACCAGTTTGTCAGCTATAAACAACCTACAGGAGCTTAAACAGCTCATCCAGCGTGTGTTGGAAGAAACGAAGCGTGAGCTGAAGAGGCCAGATATGGAAAATGGGACTGAATCACCTGTGGAGCTGCCAAGAATTACAGCTGTCAGATCGTGCTGGGGACGCTCAAAAAGGACGAGTTGAAAAATAGTAACACTTAATAAACTAGAATCATCCTTTAAGCTGGATTTCTACACTCGAGCCACAGGGTTCAAATCCAGCAGCTCCTCGCTGACAAGCCAAAACCCAAACATGTCTAAAAGCATTAAAAGTGAAATCCAACAGTCTCTGGGTGACACAACTGCTCTGGGACACACACCAGACTGTCCTCAGTCGTGTCTCTGTGTGTACCTTGGGATGCTAAGCAGGTAGTCCAGCGTGGCGCTAAGCTCCTCCATGCTGGTCTGATCTGAACTGAGAGGGATGTTCAGAATCAGACCACTGCGCCGGTCTTTACCCCCTAGTGGTGGGAGAGGGGAGGAATCAGATTACAGCTCAAACTGGGATGACCACAGGATTGAGGAAACAGGTGTCGATATTTCATTTTCTTTTCTTTTAAATCCAAGTGTTTTACCTGACAAGAAGGCCAGCTTCTTCTTGAGAATGGGGAGGATGGTGGTCGCTTCCATTGTGACAGCAGACATCTGTAAACACACATGCAGACAGTTTTTCCTCCTTAAGTCTAAGGTATCCTTTCTAAAGCTAAAAGCAGTGTGAGTTAGTGGAAAAGAGGCCCACTGTTACACGAGATAGTCAATAAACTCCAACACTAGACCACAGTTTTCAAACCTGCACGATCAGATGTTGGCCCACAGGCTCACACTTTAACAGCTCTGAGGTGCTTGACCAGAATGTGCACAAACTACACAGAAATCCCGCAGCTAACGAGTTTACAGCGTCCTTGCAAGTCAGTGCAGGAGCACAGCAGCCATAGGTGATAAAAAACAGCTCTGGGGGTGGCTGCTAAAAAGCTGCGTCCAGCTCCGAAGTGTCAGAGCAATATCAGCGAAGCAGCACTGTGATTTTCGTGTGCGGATTTTCTCTCAGCTGGCGCTTCTCCCGGCCGATTCAGATTCTTGGCTCCGGCCTCGGCCTGCGATTTACTGCCCGCCTCATCGGCATGTCAGCACAGTTCAAGCAGTCAGCCAGTAAATCAGTCAGTTTGCATTTCTGTCAGCTTATCGGCCGACTTAACATCTGTGGTGATTTTTTTTAACCCCCGCCCTTTCTACAGTTGTTGCATTGTTTCTCACACTCTCCTATTAAAGGCTGTGCTCCTTTAAAGAACAGTCTGGGCTTTTCAGTTAATTACAGCAGTGCTGGAGGACTTAATGTGGGCTCTACAGAAAAATGTCAAACTATTCCTTTTTTATTCCATCTCAGTGTTTTTGTAGATTTAGCTCCTTACCATCTAAGCTGCTTTCTGTTGCTTGTAATTTGAGACACAGCAATCACCCCCATGCAAGCCATAACACAGGATTGCAACTCCTTTAATTTTAGTGTAGTGTTCGGATTTATTCAGTTACACAGGCATGCTGAGTGCAATCATGCAGTTCACATAGTGACCTTGACGTGATGTGGCACACAGACACTCAGCACTTTATCGAGCTTCTAACTTGGAGTTATATTAAAGCTTTGTGTTTGCAGTATTCTTGTTTTTGGCCTTACAGTGAGTCATGTCGATCTGGTGTCTGGAGAGCTGTGGGGTCCTTGCTTTATTACATCTGATGATCACACAGTTCTGACTAGTTGAAGATTTTGAAAAACAAAATTCTTTCAGTCATGACATATTTTATCATTTTTACCTCTTTTTTTTAAAAAAAAAAGTATAAACTCATGCTCCACTATCTTCTGTTCTACTCCTCTGCTAAACTTTGCGTCACATTTATGATTTGGCACAAAGGTGTTCATTGTGCTATTTGCAGCAGATGTAGTATTAGTTAGATTAAATGATTTGGTCCCTGCAGCACCAGTCTGTGTCTATCTCCTCCTGGTGCTGCTGCTGATGGGGCTTCACCTTCGTCCTCCTGCAGCTTATCCGGCCCAGCTCGGTGTGTCTCGGCTTGGTTCGGCTCGGCCCACAGACACAATGACCTACATTCACAGCTGCAGACTGCGGCTGCTGCAGCCGTAACCTCCCCTTCACCGCAAACCTCGACCCGCCCAGCCTCGGCAGCTCCGGGATCCACAACAGCAGCTATCGATCCCGCACGTTTTCTTACCTTTTCAGTCAAATCTGCGGCATTTTTCCCTGTCCCGATTTTTTCCTCCTCCTAGTCCCCCCTCCTCTTCTCCTCTGTCGCTTCTTCTCCTCTGCAGTTTTTCCCTTCTTCCTCTCTCTTCCCTACTCCTCCTCTTCTGTGTCCTCTCGGGCGGATTTATCAGCAGATAGTGAATCTGTTCTCCATGAAAAACACCGAGGAGCTCAACGAGCTCACAGTACGCTTTCAACACCGCTGCAGTCCTACTCCAAACACACTCACAAGGCAGGCGTTGGAGCTGGCTGTTGTGCGCAGCCTCAGTGTAGCCAAATCGAAGAACGCGACTTCCGGTGAAAACGACTTTCCAAATAAATGCCTGGAGGAACAATTTCTCACCACATTTTATAGAGGAGCCAATGTTTACTTATGCATTACTTATCAGCATTTATTTACAACCACGATTTGCACACTTTTGCCCTCTTGTTTTTTTCGTTTGGTTTTTTCAGAAACATTGGAAATATGTTGTGTGTGTGTGTGTGTGTGTGTGTGTGTGTGTGTGTGTGTGTGTGTGTGTGTGTGTGTGTAAAGTTTTATTTTCCCCATTTCCTCAGTATTCATTTTACATCAGGGCACACACGTGGCCACTTTGCTAAATAAATAAATATAAATACAAATATAAATATCGTGGTACATGATAAATGTGTAAAAGTACAGAAAAAGTTCCGGTAGTTCAGTGCAAAGAATACCATGTCATGTAATTATAAAACTTTTTCTTAATTGACTGAAAAAATCCTTGAAAAACAAACAAACAAAACTATGGACCCACTGTGATAGTGGGAAAAAAGAACGTTTAATTTAACTGTTTATCTGTGAATTATTACATTGGTGTAGTAGAAATTCTAGTCTGGCACCCATCCTCTATGGGAGGTTTCGTTTTGTATTATATTATCATTATTATAATTATTATTATTTACTTCATTTTGATTTTTTTTTTAATTTACCTTTTATTGGTTTCAGTGTTAGTTTTAGTCTTTGTAATTATTATTGTATGGACGGCATAGAGAAAGAGAAAATACACACAAGTCACATTTTTTTCTTATCAGGATTATTAGGATTTTATTATTAATATTACTGTTCTTATCATCATCTCTATTATTATTGTTATTTCTATTATGTAACCAACAACAATCCAAAGCATCAGTAACCAATCAAAGTCTTTTTATTTCATCAAAATGATATAAAAAAAATTGTAAGTCTTAAACACAAATTTTAAATCGTATAATCCAAGCATGGCAACTGCTCACACGACTTAAATTCAAGTTGATTTAAAAATTTTAATTTTTTTCTTTTTGTTGTTTCACTTCCATATTCCTGCTCAGGATGAATAAGTGTTTTTGTGGTAATTTCCGCTGCGGCCTCACAACAAGAAGGTTCCTGGTCTTCCTGGTCTCATGACTGGGGCCTTTCTACATGATGAGGTAGACACTGTATAGTTTATTGGGGGGGGGGGAATATATTAAAAAAAAGTTTAGAGAATAAAAAGAACATACACATGGTTAAAAATGTGGCTAACAATTGCTAACACAAGACTAGAAAAGCAAATTCAAATCATTTGTTCATTTCTGCATCTCAAGCTCTAGAAGGCAGTTGAGCATTTGATCTCAGACAGAGAAGTCTCGCTGACAGCTGGAGCCTCAGCTGAATTCCCATCATCCTTTTGGCGACAGAGCCCTTTAAATTTGAACCTGGAAGCCAAATGAGGAGAGCTGCATCAGTTAGGCAATATTAAACAATAGATATTTCATATATATTTGCATTATTTGTTTTGTTTTTTCATTTCAGTTTTTTTCACATTGTACCCACCTTTATTTTTGATATTTCAAAATGAACTGTATATTTCTTATTCTGGTCTCATGACACAGACCTACCCACATAACACTTTAAGACCACAGTGCAGTAAACAATCAAACCAGATTTCCCTATTTATATATTTTTTATTACAATCCATTCATAGGATATCTATTATATAGAGTGCAGACATGAACGCACCTGAATATACACTCTGCAAAAGCAGCATTACTAGCATAATCAATAGACAAGCTTACTTCTTAATGACTTGCATCTGATCGATGGTATCAGGAAGCGTTTTTCCAAATGACTCCGGAAGGAAAAGGGAGACAAAGACACCGATGACTAACAGTCAAACTGTTACAGTCAACCACGGCAGGAACTCGTAGAACACAGCTGCAGACAAAACCAGAGCCCATTATTCAGATTATTTCTCTGCTACAGACTTCTGTCATCACTGAGCTGCAGGTCAGTTTGTTAGATTTAGAGTTGAGAAGCTGAGCATTAAGGATGCTTTTGTCATTAAAGTGAACTAAAACTTCATCTCTACACAATGACACCTGTCTCATAAAAAAGGCACAAAGGTTCTGTGTACACTACAAAGTGCTCTATTGCAGAATAATTATCCTAGTATGATGTTTACACAAAAGTAGGGATGCTTTGAAAACATGTAAATGAAAAACAGACGGCTATTAAGATCATTAGAAGCTTACAGGGCACTGAATAGAGCACAAAGACATCGTAACAAAAACATATTGAAACAGAATTAGTTGTTCAGTTTTCCATCTGCTGTTTTTTGATGCGCTGCACAACTTTCTCAATCATTTCTCGCTCTTGCCTCAAAACGAAGTTTAGCGAAGTTTTTAAAATTTACTTAATTTCAACATTTACTGTCTTGGATTATTTGATTAAAGAGATTTTTTTTCATCATAGCCCACTCCATAGCTTCTTTTCTCAGACCCAAGACCAGTAGAAAGTGTTGGAGAGTAAGCTTAGGACATTTTTAATACGAGTATTGTCAGTTGAAACAGTTGTCCCAAATTTAACGTTTTTCTTCTTCTTTTTTTTCTTTTGTTGGGGGGAAATGGGGTGATTGTGATGCCAAATATCTCACCCAGCTGCAATATGTATGGGGTGATAGAGGACCCCACTCTGGAGAATAAGGCAGCAGACGACAACATCGTATTCCTGATGACTGTGGGAGACAGCTCTCCAGTGAGCAGGTGCAGGATTCCTTCAGAAGCCAGGACTCCAAATTTACCTATCAGCACCAGGGTGAGGGTGATGTTGTGATACTCTGAAGGGAGGAGAAGGACTTTAAGCTTACAAGGAGTGAAACAAGTTATTTTCAAACATTTGGTGAGCAGGTTTACCTTCCCTCAAATAATCTTGTTTTGTCTATTTTGTCTATAAATCTCATTTGGGGCAGCACCTCTAACATAGAGGCTGTGTGTGTGAGGCCTTGTTGAAAAGGCTTATTGTGTTGATATTTTTCAACACAATGACAGTTATATTCACAAAGAGAGCAAGAAAAGGACAGTGGTCTCACTTACTGTGCAAAGTGATCTGGATGACGAAGAGTGCCAGCGCCCCCAGCAGGGAGAAGACAATAAAGGACACGCGGCGAGGAAAATATTTTGCGCTAAACCAGCTGACCAAGTGTGCCGGGATATCCATTAGTGATAGCAAGGCGTAGTTCAGAAAGGGGTTGCCATAGAGAGTAGTCATATTGAATGACAATCCAAAGTAGCTCACATTCAAAGAAAACCTGCAAACAACAACAGAACAAAAAATAAATAAATAAAATGAATCCTGTTAGGATCGCTCAGTCAATTATATCAATAAGCAGTTGTAAAACATGTCAGAGTCACTGATGCCCAAAACCAGCATTCTGAGTTTTCTTTATATTTCTATTCTCTAGTTTTAGCTTCACGTGTACTTCTGTGTGTGGTTTTAGTCTGGTTTATATTCAGTTCGTTGAGTTCATAGATTCATGGGGAAGGCTTTAACTCACCAGAGAAACCACACTACGAGTGTGATACTTCGAGTGGTTGTGTTCCTCAGCAGACCCAGGTAACCAGAAACCTCAGGTTGCTGAGGTTGCTGAGGTTGTTCAGGTTGCTGAGGTTGTTCAGGCTGTTGAGGTTGTTCGGGTTGCTGCGACTGTTCAGACTGTTGAGACTGATCAATGTGCCACATAGAAAATTCATTACATTAGCCAATGTAGTTTAGTGTGGTACACGTTGGACAAGGATAAGGTCAGAGGCTCTTACTTTTGCTGAGCGAAAGAGGTCAGATGGAAATTCCACTCCGTTCTCCAGAGCAGCAAACCTTAGCAGGAGTTCTGCTTCTTTAAAACGGCCTTTGGACACTAGCCAGCGAGAAGATTCTGGAACCAGCCTGGTGGACAGACAGACACAAATGTGTAGTTCATTAGTCAAGTCAGCACAGGTGGAAACTGAAGAAAAATACAAGAGCCTCCTGCTCCATCTATCTGTGTTTGAGAGAGTATTATTTATTCATCAAGCAGATGCTGGAAAAGTTAGAAATTATCTGGATGCGATGAGTTAGAAATTATCTGGATGCCACGAACGTCTTCTTTTGGCTGTCCCTACACGGGTGGCCACAGTGGATCATCTGAGCGCCATAATGATAACTGTAAAAATCTGTGAAAAATGTACTTTGCCAGAAGCCAAAGATTTTTTATTTAACACTTTATGCTTGACTGTGACTGAATGAATGAGATTGCAGATACAACCTTGGAACTTTGATCATCAAATCAAAACAGGTTTAAACAGAAATGAGCCTTTAACAACGTTCAGTTGGGAGGAGATCTATGGGGAGAACGGGAACTGGAATAAAAAATTATAAATCCCTTTCTTTTGTCTCAAGATCCCCCAAATGGAAGGAAAAGGGCATCTGAGGAAGTGGAACAAAGTGATGGATGGATGGATGCATGGATGGAAGACTGGATGGATGGATGGAGGCGCACATTTAGTTTACATTAGCTTAACACATTCCACAGTTCAACAAATTCCTCAACAACCTTTTATATACTGACCAAAAAAATCTGCTGAAAAAATCAGCAAATACTCAAGAAACAAAAATCCTAGTAGTGTACTGAGGTCAATTTACCACCAAAGGGGGAAACAGGCCAGACCAGGCAAAGCCATTAACACTGATAGATATCTCCAGTTCCTGACTATGTAGGCAGTGCCAGGGAATGCCACCATACCAGCTGAATAGAAAAAGCTCAAAGCAAGGCTGCTGAAGAGAACTCTTGGAACATCAACTAGGAGCTCAGAACCTGTGACGAAAAGGCAAAGTTTAAAGGAAATCAGGAAGTTGTACTTAATGTTATATTACAACTAATGTCCAATAAAATATTTTGTTTTCTGTTATCTGTTTACTGCACATGTGTAAATCAGAAAAGTCAGTCAAAGGTTGTGACTAGTTGACAATACAAGACAAGTGGTTTCCTTTTTGTTTCATTTTAGGTGTTGGCCGAAGGCTTATTACATTAAAAACAGCAGCAGTTGAGCAGACTATCCTAGAAATAAAGAAACACACTTACCAAGTACAAGAAGAACTATGCAAATGCTGACCTGACCCATGCCCACCATGAAGAAAAGCACATTGAAGACAGCCCAGGACTGAGCAAAACTCAAAGCGATGTTGAAGACACTTAGTATGAAAATGGAACTGAACAGAACAGGTTTCCTGCCAAACCTACTGTAAAAATACAGCAAGACAGCAATCAGCCACAACATGGGCACATACAGTTTTCTATTTAGATGTTAATGCTTAAAAATAGGCCCATTAGCCTCAACAGCCTCAAAATAGGCCCATTAGCCTCAACAGGGCTTTAGCAGCTAGCATGACAGCTACCCTGAGGTACCCCTGAGCAAGGTACTGTCCCTACACACTGCTCCCCGGGCGCCTGCTTAGTGGCTGCCCACTGCTTCACTGAGTGAATGGGTCAAATGCAGAGAAAAAACAAGTAATTTCCCCATGGGGATCAATAAAGTATACATTATTATTATTATTATTATTATTATTATTATTATTATTATTATTAACCAAAGGAGTCATGTGCTCAGTGCACCTACATTAGGATTTATCAACAACAAAATGGAGTTCATTTAGCTCAAACTTAAAGGTAACCGAGATTTGGGAAGATAGATCCTTTATTTTATTTAGTCCTGGATGAGTTAGCTCACAGCTAACTAGCAGACATATTTTAGTGAAAAACATTGCAGGTTTGCTAACTTTAGAGACTGCTTGAGCTGAAACTGTGAATTTACCGGTCAGAGATCTGTCCAGAGAGGAAACAGCCACAAAGTGATCCCAGGAAGTAGATGAGAGAGGACATTGGCTGTTTCCACTTGTTGTCGCACACCAGGTTAAACTAGAAGACAGGGTACACATAAGGGTGATCTAAAGCAGGCATAAGAACATAGAAGGAAATACTTGGGCACTAATCTCTGTCTTCCAGCAGTCCCTGTGCAGACTGTTTGCTTCATTAGCCTCCATGTTGCTTTGTTTTGATGGGTGTGTAACATGAGTTTGTCTCTGTCCATATTTTACTCCTCAGGCTGTTTGACTTCTTATTCCTGTCACTGTTTGTATGACCACAAGTGGCATAAGGCTAAGGTAAACTTTAGAGGACATCCTTAAGCAATAGCTTCTCATAAATTACTGTGTGATGGAGGGATTCAATGTTGCCTTTACTGACACATCATCTGTAATGAGGTATATATATATATATTATACACACACACACGCACACACACACACACACACACACACACACACACACACACACACACACATATATATATATATATATATATATATATATATATATATATATATATATATATATTATATATATATATATATATACATATATATATATCCATAGGTCCCTCATCCTATTAGTTACAAGTACCTGGGGATCCCGCAGGCAAATGGGAACCATGAAGAGGCCGCTAGAAAGGCTGCAACCACCAAGTACCTGCAGAGGGTCAGGCAAGTCCTGAGGAGTCAGCTGAATGGTAAGAACAAGATCCGGGCCATCAACACGTACGCCCTGCCCGTGATCAGGTACCCTGCTGGGGTAATAGGCTGGCCAAAGGAGGAGATAGAAGCCACTGACATAAAGACAAGAAAGCTCCTTACCATGCATGGAGGGTTTCACCCCAAGTCCAGCACCCTGAGGCTGTACGCTAAGCGGAAGGAAGGGGGCCGGGGACTGGTGAGTGTCAGCACCACAGTCCAGGATGAGACAAGGAACATCCAAGAATACATTGGGAAGATGGCCCCAACTGACCGAGTGCTCAGTGAATACCTCAGGCAGCAGAAACCCAAGAAAGAGGAGGGAGACGAGGAACCATCATGGAAGGACAGGCCCCTGCACGGTATGTACCACCGGCAGATAGAGGAGGTGGCTGATATCCAGAAATCCTACCAGTGGCTGGACAAAGCTGGACTGAAAGACAGCACAGAGGCACGAATCATGGCAGCACAAGAACAAGCTCTGAGTACAAGATCCATAGAGGCTGGGGTCTATCACACCAGGCAAGACCCCAGGTGCAGGCTGTGTAAAGATGCCCCAGAGACTATCCAGCACATAACAGCAGGGTGCAAGATGCTAGCAGGCAAGGCATACATGGAACGCCATAACCAAGTGGCCGGCATAGTGTACAGGAACATCTGTGCCGAGTATAACCTGGAAGTCCCGAGGTCAAAATGGGAGATGCCCCCAAGGGTGGTGGAGAATGACCGAGCTAAGATCCTGTGGGACTTCCAGATACAGACGGACAAAATGGTGGTGGCTAACCAACCGGACATAGTGGTGGTAGACAAACAGAAGCAGACGGCCGTAGTGATCGATGTAGCAGTTCCGAATGACAGCAACATCAGGAAGAAGGAAAACGAGAAGCTGGAGAAATACCAAGGGCTCAGAGAAGAGCTCGAGAGGATGTGGAGGGTGAAGGTAACGGTGGTCCCCGTGGTAATCGGAGCACTAGGTGCGGTGACTCCCAAGCTAGGCGAGTGGCTCCAGCAGATCCCAGGAATAACATCGGAGATCTCTGTCCAGAAGAGCGCAGTCCTGGGAACAGCTAAGATACTGCGCAGGACCCTCAAGCTCCCAGGCCTCTGGTAGAGGACCCGAGCTTGAAGGATAAACCGCCCGCAGGGGCGTGCTGGGTGTTTTTTTTGTATAAGTAATTGAACCAGGAAGTCCTTTGTGATCCAGGGAGACTTGGATCTGAACAATATCATCAAGACAGTAACAGTACCTCAGTGACTACAGTCAACTTGTAGTGCTCTGTGCTGTAGATCCATCCATCTTTGCACTCCTCCTGCTTCAGGTTGGACAGCATGACCCCTGCACTTGCTCCGAATTCAGAATCGTTGTGGATCTGGGCAAGGTTGGGTTTTATTCCGAGTGCAGACAAGTTCTGCATCATGTGCATCTCATAGCGGCTACAACTGCTTCTCTCCAGATTTTGACCCTGTACAGCAGCAGAGATATTATAAGAGACAGACAAGACAGTGAAAGAGTCCTGAATTGAAATTTATACGAGAATTCTATAACGTCGAAGTCAACAGTAGACTTCAACTGCCAGAGGAAAAAAGCCTTTAAAATCTTATTTGTGAGCTGTATAATCAGTAAGCTTTTACCAGATGTGGGTCAATATTCTGTACAGACCATTTCCATGACAGCTGATTTAACATCCGCTTTTTAAATCTACAAAGAGCAGTAAAACTCATAGAAGCACACTTCAGGTAACCGCAGCTTGTCCACAAAGAAAATCGACTGGAGTTGGCGATACAAATTATTATGTGACTTATTCCTATGTGAATCGTCCCCCAAATCCAACCCACGACCCACTGTACACTCTACTGCACCCGCCACACTGGAACTTCACAAGACGTTAATGACAAATAACTGTCGTGATGACGTGAATCTGCGGCGCAAGAATGCTTTAGGGGAAAGTGACTTGCTGCAGATTTAGGTAAACTAAGCGTTTCAGTGTAAGGTTCTCTCACACTGGCTTTACAAAAATATAATTTAACTACAGCTGCAAACACCCTAGGAACAGCCGAGTCGTTAAACCCTTGATTATACTCTGCGGCGCACACGCACACCTAGAGTCACCAAGGTCAAGCACGTCTGCATGGATCCTTACACCAACTTGCATCACTCAAACCCTGTCAGGGTCCTGGGACTGGGCGACCCAGGACCCCTGGGCAGTCATGGACCTGTGTTATTGTTGTGTATTTTGGTGTTGCTTCCCCTTCTCTGTGCTTGTGTATATGTGTGTGTGGGTGGCTGAGCACTTGTTTATAGGCGGCGTCAGGCCTGGAGGGTGTGGCCCTGCAAGGGGACTGGCCACACCCGAAGCCACGCACCTGCTGCTGATGAGGCCTCGTCGGGGGAGCTACTTAAGAGAGTCTTGGAGCTCCCACCGACGCGGGATCATTGCATGAGACTCCACGTTAGTCTTCTGTTCAGTTTAGTCTGTGAGTGTATGCCTACGGGAATTATGTGTCTTGACGGCTGCCTCTGTCATTTTCCCCTCAGGAGGAGCGTGGAACATCGGAGGGCAGCAGGCACGGGATGTGTGTGGACACACGAGAGTGGAGAACACGGAGCACAGACTTGTTGGGAAGACACGACACGGGAGTCACGGGAGAGCACGGGGATTTACTGTTATTGTTTCCATCACTGTAAATAAACGCACTGTTTATACACAGAGTACCGTGCCTGGGTCCTCCTTTTCCCCACATCCCCGTGACAAACCCAATTGTATCCTAGCAGACTCACAGGAGTAGAAAGTCTAATGAAGGTTTAAACATAACCATCACCACCGAGAATATTTAGCAAAGACAGTTAAAAGACATTAAGAGGAAAATATATATTTTTTATATTAATGACAAGACACTGTAGCTGACAGTGTTTGGAACCACCTCCTCATGGAAAATCAAGCTTAGTCCTTCATTATGTTTGCCAGCTAGCTGCTGAGTGGATCTTTCAAATGTTTGGTCCTGCACTGGATGTGTTTTTCTTTTCGAGGTGTTTTACTTGAAGCAGGCGTCTGCTGGAACAGAGAGGCAAGCTTTTATTAAATCTACTGCTAAAGTGATCAAAATGTATCACTGCTTTCTCATGTGTGTAATAGAAAGGCAGAAGAAATGATAGAAACTTAAGGTTGAGGAGTTAGTTAACAAAATAATGTTAAATTACCGAAAAATAAAATAAAATAATACTTGCTGAATCTGAGTTTTCTTAGCCGCTGTCCTTCACTCAAACAATCATTCAAAATCATTTAGCTTGATCAGGCCTGCCACTGGTTCTCACCTGTATCGGGATACTAGCCTGGATCCAGTCCTGACTCAGGTTGCTGTGTGCTGGGATGTAGCACTGGTGTGGGGGAATGGCCAGCAGAAAGATGACAGACAGGATGTTGTACCCAGCAGGAAAGCTGAGGGTACAGAGGAAGAAGATGACCTTCACCTGGTACCAGCCCCAGATCCCCAGGAACGCAATGGATCCCTCGTAGTCCCTCATTTTGGTATTCTATTGTATTCTTCTTCTTTTCAGCTGTCACTCAAAAAAATGACAAAGTCAGCTCTCTCTTCAAACAGCAAAATCGTATCAAAAAGTAGAATACGGGTCGCGCCAGTCGCAGCTTCTCTCTCAACAAGTGCTTCGCAGCTTCAGATCTTTTATCCCAGACAAGACAGAAAGACTCCACCTCTCATCCTACTAATTCTAAAACCCTCGGTGCATATTAACTCCTCCATAATATTAACTCCATACCATAATGTGCTTTCTCACATGGCAAGGCGTTTCACCACATGTGTGAATGAGAGGGGAAAGGGGCAGGACACAAAAGGACAAACTACTCACTGCCCCTGAGCTCCAGGACATTTATATTCAGAAAAAAAGGGGGGGAAAGGTACTACGTTAAAGTGTCAAGTTTTGAGTGGGTTGCTTTTAAGATTAAGACAGCCACATGGGTAACACAGCCTTGTCACATAGTACACAAATGGAAGACAGACAAAAGGAATTTGGACAGTGTTTCATTCGTGGTTAGTTTATGCACAAAATGTGTTCACAGTGGGGAGTTGTGGAGTTCACCGAGAGTCACCATATGGACTGATACTGTATATGAAGTAAAGAAATGTCTAAAGATCTCAAGATCCAGTCTATATGTCAGTCTTCTGTAAAACAATATGTTGCTACTCTTCACAAGAGTTTGTGACCAGCAAAGGTTGTGAGAAGAATCGCTCCAGCTTGCTCAAATCTTGATTCAAACGTCCACTACAAGACAAAAAAAAAAATGAACTAAAGGGCAAAAGCACCCAAAAGAAACCAGTGGGGGATGTTTTGTTACCTCGGGACATTGGATGCCTTGTAGTCATAATGGTAATAATTTTACTGGAAGGTGTAAGGACATCACCTGAAGGTTAGAAGTCCGTGGGTGATTCAACAAGACAAATGAATCAAAGCACACAACTTAATCAACAATTGGTAAATGAAAAAAAGGGCATTTTTATAGAGTCTCAAACTTGAAAAACATCTCCTGATATTCCTTCCATCAGAGTCTGAAAAAGTAATGCCCCACAGCCCACGATTACAATCACTTATCACTTTCACTGCAGTAAAAGCAAGAACTATAGCACCAGAAAACTCTTGTTGGTTAAATTTCATCCAAAACAAACAAATTCAGTTTCTCTTCACTCCTTATTCCATCCACCCCACCTGAAGTGAGAACTGCTGCCATGAATTAAATGAGATGCTGCGGCTGACCTAATAAGAGCTGACTGGACAGACTGTTTTTCAGTTATTTGGAAGGAAAACTCGATAAACACTTTTTAAAATACCTTCCTGAATAGTCTTCCAGCTTTAGGTGAAGAGCTAAAGCACTGGGTCTTTTCCAGTGTCAGAAGATTAATAAAGTAATAGAATAAGAATAAAAGTAAATCTCTTTAATAGTTATTATTACTATATGGGTTATTTTAAGAGGCCATTTCAGCTCTTTTTCTGATTTTCTTTGTTCATTCGGCTCAGATTCAAAGCTTTTCTCTTTCTTTAACTGCCTTTGCCCTTCTGTAGTGGCACCAAGAACACAAACCAACAGCACGATCTACACCTTGACACTGGTGTTTGGAAGTCGTCTGCAGATTTTGAATTACTAGGAGAGGGAGGAGGACGAGAGTGAGCGATTTGTCATCAGAGGTTATACAATATTAGACAAAGAAGTTAGCCAAGTTGTTCAACGTGTGTTGAATATAACACTGGATTACTGGAAGAATGATTCTGTTCACTATGAACATTTCATTAAACAGCTTCGCTCATAACGTGGCTCCCAAGCAAAGCTTTAAAGGCTGCCCTCATCGGTCTTTCAATGAATATTTTTAAGATTATACAAAATTTGAGCTCATACGATAATCTGTGAAAGAAAGAATAAGAGTCTTACAATCCTATCTTCCACAACGTAAACTACTGATTTTACGCTATAATCAACTGTCACAGTCAAAATTACTAGAATCTCATCCAATCTATGTCACATATGGCTGAATGATATCATGAATCCATTATAATATACAGTTCGTACTAACCTGATTATATAGAGCGCAGAATAACTGCGCTCGATTTCTGTCACATCCAAATCTGTTAGTTGAGAATTTTTAAAACTGTTTTAATATATTTGATCTGTTATAATAGCCAGTTATCTTCTTCTTCTTCTTATGTTCCCGCTACAGCATGTGAACGGGTAGATATTGTTGCTTGAAGCATCCATGCATGCACGGTTATTTAGTGTGGCTACACGGATGTTAAACAATTACTGTTGGAATTTGGGATGTTTGCCTTCGGGTGAAAATTAAAAAGAAAACACTCAGCCCTTCAAAGGAAAAATACTGAGGCAAGGACTATGAAGCTTAGACCAGCGGTCCCCAACCTTTTTTGCGCCATGGACTGGTTAATGGTCGACAATATTTTCACAGACCTGCGTTTAATGTGTCGTGGATAAATACAACAAAATAAAACCAGTACCGGTACACAAAAAAAGGAATTATTAATAACACATGGGAAAAAACTATATTGCAGATCTCTTATAGTTTCTGATATGCTTTAACCCACTGTGAAACCAAAAACAAGGGATATTTAAGACTGAATTACCCTTTTTTCCACATGCAGACCTCAAAACATTTGGGTCTGGCAGGCAGTCAGACCAATTTCACAGTGATTTAAAGTATTAAAACTGCTATAAATGACTTGTTACTTTCTTTTTGTAGTTAGTCTCAAGTTTAAAAAAATCTTTATAAAGAGACCTGACAAGAGCGGAGCACAAATTGCAACAAATATAAGAGATCTATAAAGATATTTCCAGTGGCCCAAGATGACTGACAGATTATAATGCAGCAAACAGAGTAATAATGCAGAGGCTATATGTCACGGTTCTGGGTCCGTTGGACCCAGTATTTTGAGTTTATTATGTTTTGGTGTAATTTTGCATCAGGGATTGTTTTATTGTTCTCTTGTTGTGTAAATGATGATGATGATTATGATGTTTATTATTAGAGTTTCATGTTTCTGTTTGTGTTTAGGATTTGTTCTTCGGTTGGGTCTGCTTAGTATATGTCTAGTTCCATGTGACATTTTCTGTCTGTCTCTCAAATGTCAAGTCTGTGTCTTAGTGTGATGGTTTCTTGTTCCTGTTTTATTGTGAAGGTCTGCGTCTCATGTGAGTGTTCAGTTTTACCTCTCGTCTCGTTAATGACTCCCAGCTGTGTCTCCCACCTGTGTGTAATCTCCCTGTGATTCTCTGAGTGTATTTAAGGCGTGCCTTCTGTGTTTGTAGTTGCTGGTCCATCTGTGTAACCATCGTGTCTCGCTCGTGTGTTCACCCTGCTGTCTACCATCGTCTGCCTCTGCTCGCCCTGCTTCATGTTCATGTTCTGGTTTCTGCGCTATAGTTTAGTTGTTTCCCAGTATAGTTTAGTTCGAGCTCCATTTGCTGTTTGTCCTTATTTTGTGCTCAATAAACCACCCTCACTTCTCCACTACCGCCTGCGTTTGGATCCTCCTTCATTTCCTCCACACGGCTCCTCTCACTCGCCGTGACACTATAGGACGCTTGCAAAATAGGGCTTTTTGTAATGTTATCTATTACTACAACTTATTTAGCAATATAAGCCAAAACTACTGCACATAAAAACACACATAAAATTATTATTTTTTTGGCATGATGCTAGGATGCAAATACCAGTGAGAATTTCTTATGTCAAGTACTTCTGATGTATGATGAATAATACAATGCCAAAACTTAATCTATGTCTTTACTGCAGTCACAATTACACTCCCCTAGCAGGATACATATCATTAGGAGTGATTGCACTGCTTGAGTAAAAGAGACAAATAACACATAACACAGGCAATCCCACAAAGCTATCATCAGGTAACCTTATCTGATATTTGATTACCTGTGTAGTGATATTTTGATGTTTCTTTTATGTCTGATACCTTTACTAATATTTGTAAATAGACAGTAGAGATCAGGACTTATGAATGGGTTATATATAAAATAAAGAAATGGCCCGTTTTGCAAGTTATGAATCTGGGCTATTGTATGTAGTTCTTTTCACTTAAAAGTGTGTTTACAGAATTGTGATGTTATATTTGTTACAATTTCCGTTGCCCTCTCTTAGCCAGATCTCTCTTGAAAAATACATTTTTGATGTCACTGACACTTTTTAAAAAGAACAAAAAAACAACAGTAACTTTGCAAAAACTGACTGCAGATTCTACTTTGTGATAGGAATATTCTTTCTGGCTCAAAATGACCTGATATTATTTGTGAGAGACATGTTTCAGATATTTTTTGACAGATTAAAGGCCAACAAGTCATTTATAACACTTTAAATTCTAGCAGTCATTTTTTGGCAAGTACCGAAAATCGCTTTTTGACATAAGATGAGTTTTTGGCACAATACCTGTCCATAAATATTTCCATTAAAACTACAATAACAAAATCCATGAACAACCAAACAGAAGCAACAACAACAGGAAAGTAGCTGCCAATATTAATAAAAGGTTAATAACAGACACAGGCTTACTTTATTTGAAGAGTAAGTCCAAGCAGGTACCCTCGTTGATAAAGATGTTGATGGCGTTCAGTTATATCCCTCTCTCATTCTTGCTGATATCCCAGATAGAAATGAAAGCTCTTTTCTTGAACCCTCTGGCTGGGGCAAGTGCAGGGCTTCTTTTCCTGATGCTCCCATAGGTCAGTCGCTGGTCTCTCTTCACTTGAAATCTGACGGCTTTCTCCAAAAGGAAGCCGTTAAAATTAATGTGGGTCCATCTGCCTGCTTCAGACATAGCTGCTTTATCGTCATGTAAAGTCTCCACTATCGATCCTGAAATATCGATTCCTCCGGTACCAATCATTTATGTTCTAGAATCGATTCTCACATTAAAATATCGATATTTTAGTACTTTAGGGTAAATTTGTAGTTTGTCATTAACAGGAACACAGTGGAAAGAAACTACATCATTCGGATTGTCTACATTCAAAGGAACTACTTCCTCTTCCGCCTTCATACTTATGTGCGAAATACACTGTATTAATGTCTGGCAGCCGCTGTCGCGCGAACTCACAACAATGGCTTAGCGTAATTGTGCGGACTTATTTTACCTCCACAAACAGCTGAGACGTGGTTTGCTATACATGTGGCAAAAAGTGAGGTGTTGTGACCATACTTGCCAACCTTGAGACCTCAGAATTAGGGAGATATTCAAAAGGGCTGTTGGGGTGGGGGGGTGATAAATACATTTTACAGTGTTTATTTATCGGATAAAATACGTTAAATGTCACCGTTATTATTGGCCGGTGTTCTGGGAATCCATCCTACCTGGAAAAACATCCTACCCAATGTACCCGGCCTGGAAACAGCGGGGGTGTCCAAATTCAGAGGCTGCTTCCACCTGAGGACCCGGCCTTTCTAAAGAAAGCCGGGTAGTACGTCACGAGCTCCCTCGGTAGAGTGAAATGTTGCCGTCTGCTCCTTGCTATCTAAAATATAACCGGGCGCTGACTTATACTCTCGACCGTCTCACACTTCTGTTTAATCAGTTTTCTGTTTGATGTTTATTCAGCTGTGTGAAAACCCTGGAGGAACCCACCCGATGGATTAATAAAATTAAGTTTGCATTAACAGCCACAGTAAGAGCTAAGCTAACAAATTAGCAAATGCTAACTAGCATCTCGCGAGCAGCATGGCAGCCGAGCCAGCAGCCTTCCAAGTATCACCGCCGCCGAAATTTGACTTTTCAAAGCCAGAAGAGTGGCCGAAATGGATCCGACGCTTTGAGAGGTTCAGGATAGCATCCGGACTCGAGCTACAATCGGACGAAAACCAGGTTAACACTCTGATATATACAATGGGCGATGAAGCTGAGGACGTGATCACTTCGTTGAACCTGACCGAAGAGGAGGCGAGTGAGTATCACACTCTCAAAGACAAACTCGAGGCACACTTTGTAGTCAGAAGAAATGTTATCTTTGAACGTGCAAAGTTCAACCAAAGGCAGCAAGAAGCAGGAGAGACTGCAGACGGGTTTATTACATCCCTATATGCCTTGGCTGAGCATTGTGGCTACGGGGCGCTGCACAGTGAAATGATAAGAGACAGACTCGTTGTCGGAATAAGAGAAAAGAGGCTCTCGGAGCAACTGCAAATGGACGCGGAGCTCACGTTAGAAAAAGCAGTGATAGGGATTCGCCAAAGTGAGCTTGTTAAGAAGCAGCAGGATCTTCTTAAAAACAACTTCAAGCAGGAAAATCTTTGTAACGTGGACATCATTAAAGCAAAAATAAAACACTTTAAACCAAGAAAGACTGTGCCACAAACCACAGAGAGGAATGTGAAAAGCCAATGCAACCGATGTGGAAAGACACTCTTTCACAGCAAGAACCTGTGCCCAGCCAAAGAGGTACTCTGCAATCAGTGTAAAAAGAAAGGTCACTATGCAAGAGTGTGCAGGCCTGGGGCAGTAGGAGAAACACGTGCAGCAGGTGGTGACAGTGAAGAAAGGGAGGTAGCATTTTTGGGAACAGTAGCCTCAGAGAGAACTGAGGATGCGTGGTTGACTAAAATAAAAGTTAACCATGTAGACTGCTGGCTCAAAATTGACACAGGAGTTCCAGTACCTAAAGCAAACAGAGATGAAGTGCGTGTGTGCGTGGACTTGACCAAACTAAATAATTCTGTGAAAAGAGAAAGACACATGTTGCCATCAGTTGAGCACACCCTAGGACAGCTAGAGGGCGCAAAGTTGTTCTCAAAACTCGATGCTAACTCAGGGTTTTGGCAAATACCTTTGTCCAAGCAGTCAGCTCTTCTCACAACGTTCATCACACCATTCGGAAGGTACTGTTTCAATAGACTCTGTTTTGGCATATCCTCAGCCCCTGAGCATTTTCAAAAACGAATGTCTCAGCTTTTGGAGGGGCTGGACGGAGTTGTCTGCCAGATGGATGACATTCTGGTTTATGCTGACACACAGACCCAGCACGACAAGAGACTGGTCGCAGTCCTTGAACGGCTCACAAAAGCAGGGGTGACATTGAAAAGTGAGAAATGTGAGTTTGCAAAGACCTCAATCAAGTTCCTCGGACAGATCATTGACACTACAGGAGTCAAAGCAGACCCAGAAAAAGTGAAAGCGGTCAGCAACATGGAGGCACCCACCGATGTGGGTGGAGTGAGACGATTCCTAGGAATGGTTA